AAAGTTTTCTTGAATTTAGTACAATGGAATTAATTGGAAAATACAAGGAAATTGTAACAAATCTAGTAAAGAAAAAAATTATGCAAATTGGAGAATATAGATTGTAACTTTGCCCTTAAAAACTCTGTGAACTTTCCGAACGACCCAATAGGTACTTTGCAACCCTCTGTGATTCGACAGGTCTGTAGTCCCAGTTGCAACTAACAAAATGAATTATACACTGCAAAGTAACTTTAAAAATGGATTTTTATTATTCTTTTCCCCTTACCCTTCGTATCATCTCCGTCAAACTCTACTGAAACTGCAGAGGGCCAACAATTTACAAATATTTGAGTCAAATTTTAATTTGGGATGAAATTGATTCCAATGCACGAGTAATTCTTTAAATGCAATTACAGACAACCCTCGTATAACACGGTATTCTTATAACAAGGTATTCCTAGATGAAGGTATTCCTACAACAAGGTGCTCCTATAAGAAGATAATACTACAACAAGGTATTCCTACAAGAAAGTATTCCTACAAAAAGGTATACATACAAGAAGGTATTCCTATAAAAAGGTATTCCTTCAACAAGGTATTCCTATAAGAAGATAATTCTACAACAAGGTATTTCTACGAGAAGGTATTCCTACAAGAAGGTAATCCTACCAGAAGGTAATTCTACAAAAAGGTAATCCTACCAGAAGGTAATCCTACAAGAAGGTAATCCCACAACAAGGTATTCCTTCAACAAGGTATTTCTATGATTAGATATTTCTGCAACAAAGTATTTTTTCAGCATGGTATTTCTCCAGCAATGAGGTATTCCTATAAGGTATATCTACTACAAGATATTCCTACGGTGAAGTAATTCTACGACAATGTATTCCTACAACAAGGTATTTCTACATCGAGGTATATTTGCAACAGGGTATTCCTCCAGCAAGGTAATTCTACAACAAGGTAATTCTATTACAAAATACTCTTACCGCGAAGTAATCCTATGACAAGGTATTCCTACAACAAGATATCCCTACAACAAGGTATTTCTACATCAAGGTATTTCTATAACAAGGTATTCCTCCATGAAGGTATTTCTACAACAAGGTATTCCTCCATGAAGGTATTTCTACAATAAGGTATTCCTACAAGCTATTCGTACGACAAGGTATTTCTCCAATGAGGTGTTCCTAGAACAACGTATTCCTAACCCTCTTTTTCGTATCTACCTACATTCCTGTTCTCAGTTTCGTCCAACAATACCTTCCATAACCCGTAAAATTATCCGAAACCCAAACCATCGTATTATCCAATTGATTACTTGTAATTCTCCATATCCCGATCAGCACAACTCCGTTTCGCGTCGACAAACAATCAGTAAAAAAATTAAACGAAAAAAAAAAAAAGAAAAAGACAAACTCGATTGTCGAGTGTCACGAGTGTATAAAGCATGTGGCGGCGGCCTCGAAAGGGTGAGTTCCCCGCGGTTTGCCGACCGAGAAATTAAGGGAGGGTGGATGGCAGAACGCATACCGTGTGGGGGGGGGGGTTCCAGCGACGTGAGTACACGCATATGGTCCACCTGCAAAAGGTAGCCAACACCTGCCCCGACCACGTTCCATGCGCTTTTCCACGGGCGAAGAAACTAGATTCAAAGTGGGGGGATTATCTGGGCTCCCCCGTTGACCCGTAGGTGGTGGTAGTTCCATTCGAACGATCATGAGGCTCGGACATTTCACCGTCTACGTCAGTGGTAACGCGTGTATATACGACACGACAACAAACGGCAGTGCTATTTGCAAATATATATCATAATATTCCTGTTTTTAAACAACCCAAGTGATAATACTTCGAGTGTTTTGACATTTTCATCCAGTTGCAGAGCTTCTAAGACAATGGTCCGTCGAGAAAAGCTGCAGAACTGCTGCGTACTGGTGTGACCATTCTGGTTTTCGTGTTTAGTGCGGTTGTTTGGTGTTCGTTTTTGATCTTGTGCAGGAAGAATTATAGTTGCTGGAACTTTCTCCTTGGTTTTCGAAGTATTTCATTGAAAATTGCTTCTTGGGAGTGTCTTTCGAAGCGATATCGTCGGATACGGCGCAGTATCGTGTGCCGGTGAGTTGAGATACGTGGTGCATTGAAACTGGTCGGGGCAATTTCTTGGTCGATCGATTAAATCAATTCGGGAACAAAAATTGTTCCACCTACTGTTCCTGGAAATCTGTATAGTTGTGAGCGTGGCCATATAATGGTGTGCGAGTTTTGGAATGTGTACTGTCTTCATGGTTTATGCGTTGGACCTTTTATATTACCGAATTATTTAAGGATTCGTTGCTAATTGTTCATTGTTTTGACTCCATTTTTCAAAGAAATTTAGTTAATCGATTTACGTCTGATTGGTCCAGAGAATACAAATTCACCGTAATGTAAGGAAAATTCAACCTAGGAAACAAGAAATATTCTTTTAAGTTCTAACTCCGAAATTTTGAAAGTTTTTCTTTCTTAATTGTTCTATCTGTAAATACTAATAACTAATAAGATAAAATTTTGTTAAATATTGTAATAAATAGTTAATATTAGAGTGTGATTGATTATTTCTCTACTTTCTTGCTTCTATAATATTAAACTTCGTGAACTTTAAACTCACTTTTCTCAGTTTAGAAACTAGTGGAGATAGAACAATTAAGAACTAGAGCGACGAATTACAAAAAAAGGTATCCTTTGTATTTTTTTCTATATTACACGACCTATGAATGATTTGCAAGAACATCTGAATATTTTGAAGTGTATAACCTATTAAGTCCCAAGCAAAAATTTTTACACATATAATTAATTGTTACTTGTAAAAGTATATAAGAAAGAACCTAAAAGTTATCGAACAAATTTTTGGATCGGTACTTTTTGCGTAACAAAATGTTGCATTTACGCAACTTTAGGCAATTTTTTTTATTGAAAAAACGTGAATAAAATAACTTGTATACTTTTGTCGAAATACACTGCGTGGCATAATTATAAAACCACCCTAAAATTTTCAATTCTTATGTATTGTGGTTAAAATAAAACCGAACCAAGTATGCCATGTCTGAAATCGTGTTGAGAAATAATGTTTCTGTAAAAAAGAATAGATTATACACCCTAGAAAAAAGTGGTTTGTTTTTGTTTAAAACACAAATACATAAGGATTGAATATTTTAGGGTGGTTTTATAGTTATTGAACGCAGTGTGTACAAAATGCATTGTAATACTAGACACTATGTTATAGAAGCCCAATCATGAGAAAGATACAGCAAACCACGATTTAAGGAAAAATTAATTTATAACACTGCTATAAATACATAGATTTCTTCGAATTTCAAAACGTCGTAGGTTCTAAGTTGAAGAAGAAATAGTGATGAAAAAAGTATTAAGCAAAACTTTGAAATTCTGTTTTAAGACTGCAACACGAGAAATAGAAAATTCAGTAATTTAAATTGTCAGGAAAAAAATTGCAAGTGAAATGTTGCGTTACCGAAACGTTGGGTTCTAATGGGGTAGTGATCTACAATCTACGCGTTAACCCGTTTATTTCCAAATTATTTAACAACCATAAAAAAAAGTACAAAAATAAAAAATTATTATTAATATATTAAAGCCCATAGTACAGAAAAGATATTTCTATACAATTTAGTTTTTTCAATATTAGTGTCCAAAATTGTAAATTTGCAGGAACACAATTCAGTGATGTACATTCATAGGAAAAAAATTGAGAATAAAATGTTGCGTTAACGAAACGTTGGGTTCTAATGGGATAATGATAAAATACACGTTAACCTGATTCCCAAATTATTTAACAAACACAAAAAAAAAATACATTTGTCTATATTACACTACGTATAAATGATTCACAGAAACAATTGAACATTTTGAAAGTGTCTAATGCCATTTTTCGTTCGTTGATATTCCGCAACTTTTTTCGACAACGATTTGAATGTAACATGAATTATTGTTTACAACAAAAATTGACGCAATTGAGTGTGTTCTGTTGTTTAAAATGAAATTGAAATTTTGCACCTGCAAGAAAAGTTTTGAAAAATGAAAGGAATAAATTTTAATTTACAAAATAATTGTAGTCTGTAAAAACTGTTAATCCCACTTCACAATAATCTGTAAATTTATTAATATCTATGATTTAATTGTATAATTTCACCCAGTAATAGTATTCTAAAAATTTATTTACTAGATTAAAAAATGTTGTTTACAAAATTATCTTTATGTATTTTATTCAACTATTATTGAACTATGTAGTTTTGCATAGATTTTAAGCACAAATTTCAATATACATTTGAAAGCTTATCTTTAAACCTTGTAAAACCCTCATTTCTTCCAAGAACTTGAAGAGGGTTTACTAATATCAAAGGTAGGAAAAAAGGGCTTGATTATGTATAATAACATTCTAATATAAATTATTATATATAACTGTAACAAACGTAAAAAAGCTATCAAATGGCAAGGAAGGAAAAATAGTGTTAAACACTTTAAAAATAATAAAACGTTCTTCTGAATCATTTACATATATGTCATGTAATATAGACAAAAATGCAGAAAAAAAGAATTTATTTTTATAATTGTTATACAGAGTGGTTCACCTAACGTGATTATCTTAATTACTCGTAAATCATTGGTTGAATGAAGAAATATTTTAAACAAAATTGTACTTCCTCCTGAAACAATAATATGTTTTTTGCTATGTTACATTATTAATTAATTCAAATATTTTTTTATACAGTATAATATTTACTATAAGAATATAAAATACTAATAACAATAATTTCCAAGTAATTGAGGTGATCATGTTAGGTGACTCACCCTGTATAAATTAAAAACGAAACGGTTAAACAAAGGAGAAACACAATATACGTTAGTTGTTCCTATATAACAGTGTAAAAACGAAGCGAATACGTTGTTACACGGTTTCACGATTTTTCAACGCAGAATTCCCCGTCACTTGTCCTGTACTGGTGCAATGAGGGATAACCAAAATGAAGGCAGAGGTGGCCACCGTTGAGACACCGATGGATCGCAGTTCGTCAGTTATGAAGGAGGACGTGCACAATGACGAATATGGTGTCGAGGCTGAGCTGACGAGTCTCTCGTGGTTACAATCGCTCGATATTACAAGTGCTTCGAATTTACCAACGCCACCCTGTTCACCGTCCCCGCCGCCTGTAAATAGACAAGCAAGAAAAAAGCTCTCGCCCCTAATTAAGGCTGAATTAGGTAAGTAGAATTCTTGTCGTCGCGAGTGGTTCGAAAGTCTGTGGAAATAGCCATGCTCTAGAATTCCTAATTTTACTGTATAATTCCTAAGTTTGCTGTAGAATTGTTCATTCTGCAGTAGAATTCTTAATTTGCTATTTAATTTTTAATTTTCCTCTAAAATTTTTATATTTTGCTGTAGAATTGTTCATTGTCCTGTAGAATTTTTCATTATGCTGCAGAATTGTTCATTTCCTTATATAATTCTGCATTTTGCTGTAGAATTCCTAATTCTGCTCTAGAATTTCTAATTTTGTTGTAGAATTTGTCATTATACGCTGTAGAATTCTTTATTCTGCTTTAGAATTCCTAATTCTGCTGTAGAGTTCGTAATTCTGCTCTAGAATTTCTAATCTTGCTGTAGAATTCTTCATTATATACTGTAGAATACTTCATTCTGCTCTAGAATTCCTAATTCTGCTGTAGAGTTCTTAATTCTGCTCTAGAATTTCTAATTTTGTTATAGAATTCTTCATTTTGTCGTAGAATTTGTAATTTTCTTGTAGAGTTCCTACTTCTGGTGTAAAATTCCTAATTCTGCTCTAAAATTTATAATTCTGTTTTAGAAATTCTCATTTTGCTCTATATTTTTCAATTCTGCTCTAGAAATCCTAATTCTGGACCATAATTTTTAATGCTGTTCTAAATATCCTAATTCTGCTCTAGAATTTCTAATTCACTCGGTAAAAATCGTTCAGAATCGTCCCAACTATAAAACAACGTGTAGTCCAGTTGAAACAAAATATAGGGGCACAATTTTTTTGCACTATTTTAGAAGCTTAATAGTTAGAAACGTATAAACCTGTTATAATAGTACGTAAGCTGTCAAAATCTAAGCTTGATCAACAAATTGTTTAAATAATCGATTACTGATTGTTACCGCTGATATTTCTGTATTTGTAAATGCTGTTAAATAGAACGAATTTTCTCTTTAGTCGAAATGAAGGAAAATGATGGGCACAAATAACGAATATTGTTAAAATAGGACAGGTATTTGCATTATTTCGAAATAAATACAGAATTCCATGAAAAATAGTGGATTACTTATTGGTACACCTAATACACTTCCTTAGTTCTTCTAATTCGGAAAAATGCAACGAACAACTTTATTTTTCAATTAAACAATATATTTTTCTCTTCTAATTGACACTTTAGTACAACTGCTACGGCTCATTATTCAAAGTTATTAAAGGTCAATGATGACGAAGGTTATAATCTTGACGATCAAGTGGAATGCTACAGTACTTTGTCAGGTTCGGGTACATACCGTTTGAATGAAATATTCAAAATGTTGTCTTTGAACTGGGATACTGTCTCGCGAGTATACTCGAACGCTTCCAGAAATAAATTTAAAAAAAATTAAAAAAAAAAACAAAAAAAATAGGTCGGTTAAATATCTATATTTACAGTTTCAAAATAATAAGATACAACATGTATATCAGTCTCATAATTTTTAAATAACGATCTAAGGGTCTGAGCGGTAAGGGGTCATTCTAATTTGACGGCTGAAAAAATCAATCTATCTTTAGGGATTTTTTCCTCGGTAAATGCAATATATAATGAAATCCATCTTGTTAGTATGTATTAAACCACTTATAAATAACATAAAAAAATTGCAGAAATAATTCTATTATATTTTGTTATTCTGTTAAATTTTTTCTTAGAAGGGAAGACACGGAAGTGTCCCCGTCCGATTTTGATGAAACTTCGTATGTCTGTTAAGCAGTCAAAAATAAGGGATACGTATTTTTTTAATCGGTTGAGATGCGACTTTAAGAGGTGAAACCACCCCTCGAAGTTTCGATCCGAAATTAAGATAAAAATCATGTTGACTAATGTAATTTATTTTAAAAAATAACAAAACGACGCAAAGATTTGTACATTACAATAATTATCGTTGAGATTAATTTTTCACACGTTTCGTTTTTACAGATTTATCTGAGAACGCTGAAAAGTATCGGACCGACCCTGATGCGAAACCGCCGTTTTCCTACGCTACGATAATATGCCTGGCGATGCGCGCTAATAACAATAAAGTATCTCTCTCAAATATATACGCATGGATTCGAGAGAACTTTTTATTTTACAAATATGCTGATCCAGCTTGGCAGGTACGGAATTCGTAAAAGAAAAGTACAGATATTCCTAATTATGTTTAATATGGTTCTTCGTACTATGCACAATTGGAAAGTTGGTGTTTAAAAAAATTTCGGTTGAATTAAAAAAAAATGTGAAAATTCTCATTCTTGATAGTGGACCATTATCGTGGATGACTCAGTGAACAGATGAGAGTCTATCCATCTGATCTGTCACGTATATCTGCTCATTTTTGTGTTTTCATCACATTTTTACAGGTTTTCAGATAATATTCGAGTTTTCAATCCATTTTCGAACACTTAGAATATTTTCGAATTCTCAAGTCATAATTCGAACACTTAGAATATTTTCGAATTCTCAAGTCATAATTCGAATTCTCATGTCATAATTCGAATTTTCAAGTCATAATTCGAATTTTCAAGTCATAATTCGAATTTTCAAGTCATAATTTGAATTTTCAACTCATCATTCGAATTTTTAACTCGCAATTAGAAGGTTCAACTAGTAATTCGTGTAATCAGTCCATTTTCATGGCTTTAGGAGAATTTTCTTTTTGCATTTTCGAGATTTCATTTACTTTTGTATGTACACGAATACATAGATATGTACTTCTTTTATCCTTCTCTCCATACATTTTTCCAGTTCTGCACAGTAGTTTCTATAGGGTGGCCCACAAGTCACAATTTCGTTAACAAATTTGAATCACCAACAAACACAACTAATCGACAAAATCAACAAACCACAATTTGTCTATATTAAGAATATATTAAATTTCTGAACGGTAAAGTGATATATACAGTTAATTTTCGATGAGTCTTCGAAGGCTCTCCGGCACTGACACAAATATGATTGACTTTGGAATTCCAAGCTCTATCACTGTGCTGGTACCTTCGTAAAAGTCTGCGTTGCACCCGCAGACCTCTCTTTGTCAGTGCGGAGGAGCCTTCGAACACTTATCGAGAATTTACTGTAGTCCACCATTGTACAAGTAAAAAATACTCGCAAGGAAGCATTCTAATCTTCAGTCATCTTTAAACAGAATTTAATCCGGCATAACTTGTCATTGAACACCATCTACAGGGTGGCCCATAAGTAAACATTCCACGAATAAATTTAATAACTCTAACAAATACAAATGGTCTATATTACATTTCAATTTTTAATTTCTGACCAGTAAATTATATGTAGTCCACCCTATACAGACTCAATGACGATAATCGAGAGAAGTCTGTACAATTAAAAAATACTTGCAAGGAAGCATTCTAATCTTCAGCCATCTTCAAACAGAATTCGATCCGGCATAACCTGTCCCTGAACAAGTGTTTCGTCAAGTTACCCCGGTCGAAGGGCGAGCCGGGAAAGGGCGGCTTCTGGAAGCTGGACTTGGAACGGTTGGAGGAGGGCAGGAAATCGAAACGGCGAGCGACCATGTCCCAACGAATCCGCGGGACGAAGAAACAGCCGCCCGCCGCGAAAACGGCGATGAACAACGCCCAGAGCAGTACTGTCCCATCGATCAGCTCCCTGTCCACCCTATACGAGACTCCTCCCAGCAGCGTGTCCCCGCCAATCCCGGACTGTCTCACAGAGATGCCCGATTCGACGCAAGTCAGCTTAAGCGAGGATGATCTCACTGGTCTGTTGATCGCCACCGCGGCCTGGGACGAGAATCAGTTGGATCTTTTGGATTCTTTCCTGGACACCCTATAGAAGTGTGCCCCGCCTTCGATTCTGTTTTCTTTTTTAGACTTGCTCAAAAAAAAAAAAAGAAGAATCAGTTTCTTTTCTGTTATCGAAACATTATATTAACCCGATCACTGCATCTTTTTGGTATCTTGTACAAAACTTTTGTTTTTCATAAAATCAAGAATCAATAGTCATTTTAAGACTATTGAAAACACTTTAAAACATTGAATAAAATTTTTTATAAATAATGATTGTTTAAAATTAATATTATATCGTTATTTATCCCGAGTTATTCTTGTAAAGAAATTTCCTTCACAAAATCAAGTACAACTGTATAGTTATTTTAAGAGTATTTAAAACATTTTCAAAATATTTTTTTAACAATCATTCTTCATATATTTCAAAAAGTGTGTTAAATAGTTATAAAATGAGTATTGATTCTTGATTTTATGTACAAAAATTTGTTTATAAGAAAAGCACAATAAATGACGAAATGATAATCACAGTAACACCGTTTTTCTAATGTTTGGATTTAAAGAAGTTTCGTACTGTCGATTGTCAAGAAATGTTCCAAATATTGTCGCTAAAGTGACAAAGTAGGCGTCCACTGTAGTGAATAAATGCAGTTAGTGGGTTAATATGTATCCCAGATAGCACATGACGCCTTAAACACGCCTATTTTACGGCTAATTTAGGTCTAAGGCGTCTTTAAGCCGTCTTCAAGGCGTCATGTGCTAGCTGGGATGTAATTTCTGTAATGTTTCATCGAGTTTAAGGTTATGTATCCGTCCATTCCAGTTAACGATGGAGCACGTAATTATTGCAGGGGCATACCACAAATTGGAAATTAAAATTTTATTTTTAAAGAGGACTCATTCATTTTGATTTAAAATTTGTCTTGTAAAAAACTTCATTTAATTATTGTACTAGTATGTACATGTGCCTTTCATGTGGAAAACAGAGGAAACGAACCTCTATCGTAAAATGGACCAATCAGAGATCCATCACGTGACGTAGTGTGCCGCCATTTTTGTTTCGACGTGCTCTAGCTTTAACTGAAACAAAGAGTACTTATTTGCGATCACTCAATTTAAAAGTATACCACCTATTTTGAGAGGTATATTATAATTTTTCATTAAATTAAAGACTCACAAAAAGATATTTCTATCTAAATATACCTATAGTTTGTGCGAAGTATCATTTTGCTAAAGGTCGAAATTTCGATTTCTTGAAAATACTGTAGGACTTCATTTATCTGAACAGACTGGAGGTCAAAACGGTTCATATAACTGGATCGTTCGTATTACATTGTACTTGCATTAATTCTTCTTTGTACCATTATTTAATCAATTACATAATAACAACTAATATTGACGTAACTGAATTTTAACTATAACCTGCTTGTATAAACACCTTATGTACATTACTTTAACCCATTATGGACCAAGCAATGAGGAATACAATTTTTAAATATAAGGTTTTTTATTCTTTGCAAAATTGCATATCTACCTACGTGTAAGAAAAAATAACGACAAAAAAATTATTCAGCAAATTCCCGCCTTTTCATAACATCACAATATTCGAAAATAATATTCGATAAGTGTAAATGAACTGACGAAAAATTGCAAGTGAAATGTTGCATTAACGCCACATTGGTCCTTAATGGGTTAATCCCAAAAATAATAGGTATAGTACACCGTACTCTACAATTTCTTTACAATATAATAATTTTCTGATATTTTGTGAAGTATTTATTTGTTTGTTACGTAGTTTAATAATATAAAAATTTTAAGATTTAATAGTCATCCGAATCGTTATGTTATCACGACGCTGTAAATTTGTATTACATATTCGATTGTGTCTTTGCTTCAAGCCTCTTTATTACATTATTTCCGACGCTAATTATATACTGTGACAAATTAGTTTCAGACGAATGTAAGTGTTAGTTCAGATAAAAGGAATCCTACCGTAATAAACACACCAAGTGATATGTACATTTATTAACGTCTATGTTCTTCTATGTTTCGAAATTCTATTCGATTTATACATTACATGTAATGTACATTTATTCTTGTAGAGTTAGAAAGGATCTGAATTACAATTTCTATTTCATACTGCGAACGAATATTACGGAGGCATTTGTATTTGTATGCACGAGCAATAATATGTAATAACGATAAAAAAAACAGTAATACAGAAATAGAATATACACGGTTTGTTTAAGATAATAACAATTTTTCGTGATGTATACTATTACGCTCTTTACTATAAATTATTTAAAATAGTTTCCTTATGAAGAAATTTCCCTGTGCGGAATAATCACACAAAGTCTGGCGATGGCACGGACACTCCCTTTTCAAGATGGCGTCCAAAATGGACGAAGCTTCAGATCGTCCAACATTATTTTTCAGTATTTTTCACTCTTATTTTCAATTTGAGAAAGCGAAAATATTATCCAAAGATTACAACTAGAGTGCAAATTTTTATGCAAATTCAGATTTTCATAGATTATTTTAATAAATTGAAATTATCTCAAAAATTTGTTTCTTTCATTCGAAGTTTCGTTAGTTCTAAACAAAGTAAAATTTATATTTACCTTTCCGAACATTTTTACGATGTTGTCTTTTACCTCTTCAAGTTTCCAGTCTATTAAGTTCAAAGAATCTTATTTTCCGCCATTTTGTAAATTTCTTCAAAAAGAAACTGTTTCGAGTAATTCATAATAAATGTTAATGTATCAAAGAAAAACTGCTATTTTAATGTATAATAATATTTACGTCCCTTGAAATTAATTTAAAAGGAAACATTCAATTATTTGGCGGTAACGATCATTATCGAGATAAGTTTTCCCACACACACACACACACACACGCACACACATATACACACTACTTGCACCTATTCTTTGACTGAATAAACAGACAGAAGTGTTGCTATAGACGAATAGTTGATAATAATTGTGTAAGGAAAGCGATTGAAAATGTTTGCGCGACGCAGTAACATGTATAGTGTCTTTCGAATAAGTAATAAATAATAACTTGCATTTTACGGTATATATATTAGATAGCGTAAATTTGCAAATTGGATTAATTCGTGTAAAGTGTACGTTTTATATTTCTGCTTGGAGGTCATTGTAGACACAAAGTGCCTTATTATAAATATTATTGGGAAATAAATTGTCGCATACTTATCTCATCATTCACAACACATCAATATTGACAATTTACAAGGCTAATATGTATTGAACAACCCTCGGGCGATTCCGTCATCAAAGCAGATATAAAACATATAAGTGTGACATTCATTTCACTTTGACTCGGAAATCTACCCGTCGCCAAATGCCTTCTTGTACATGGTCTCTAGTATCACATTTATCCAGAACGTAACGTTCTAGCTCAATACATGTGTATCAAAATACGCTGCTTAATTTTCACGTCTGTTTTCGAGTACTTATATCTATAATACAAATGAAAATATTCATTAAGCAACGTTGACAATAATCAAAGAAGCATTGCTCCAAGCAATTGATTAAACAATAGGACTGCTAGCCCCAAAATACCAAAAATCAATATTTCACGGTAAATTGATATACATTTATAAATATACTTCCAATATAAAATATTTTTGAATTGATTTACTAATAATAAACGCGGCGTACAAGAAGACCCTAGCCTAAGGTAAGAAACACAACAGATTGATGTCACCAGGGTCGGCCCAAGGCATAATGCACAGCCTTACAAGATTATTTTTTTAAATAATATGTATGCTGTTTTAAAAATTTTTAAATGTTCACCAAATTTAATAGGATATATTTTTATTATTTTTATTACCCGAAAATTAACCACTATTGTCTTTAAAAAAATATAGGGGGGGGTTGCTATAAAAGAACTTCGCAGCAGGGCGTCGACTACCCTAGGGCCGGCCCTGGATGTCACTACTCGCGAATATGATTGTATATCCACGTTCACTGTACTCGCCAAATTAAGCACGTATACAACCAGTCACCCTGTCCACCAAACCAATCGTCCTACGACATGATTGGAAACCGGAGGAATAAAAGCATGCGACTCACCCGATGACAGAAGGGCTCCGTCTAAGACTCTAGGAATCTGGAGAAAAAAAAGGAACAAAATGCGTTACAATCTCTTCTTAAAACTTTAGCTATTTCGATTAAATAATGTAAGCAATGAAATGTAAAAATACTTACAGTCTTGGCTGGTGGAGCTTCGCCCGAGGACATCATCTGCAACAGTCGTTGATACAGTGCCTGATGAAACTGAACAAAAAAGGAACAGAAATCGCTAGAATCTCCTTACAAATTCTAGCTGTTTCAGTTGAATAGTGTAAGTAATAAAATATAAAGATACTTACATCCTCTGTAAACAGAGCTGCGAAAAAATATCCTCTTCACTGACTATACTTTCGCGACTCAAAAAGCAAAAAGTGTCCAGACACTCTGACAGTAATTGATAACACGCAATAAACACTGACTCTACTTTCGCGAAAACCTAGCATCTCCGGTGAGATTCTACACGGACCTAGTTTGCTCCGCATAAACAAAAAATTGTCTACGATGTAAACACTGACTCTACTCGACTGCATTGCGCGCAGCCACCAAATAAAACTCTGAAAGAAAAGTACATAGGAAGAAATACAATACAGCACACTTGTGCCTGCCTGTCCTTTTTTTTTTTATATCCTACCAAGTGTTTATCGAGAAAATACTGCCTTCCAATAATTAACATGAACTCACATATTATTAAATATTACAGAATAAATATTCAATTTAGGAATATATTAAATTCGTCATACGTTTATATTTAATATTTATGTATTGTATTAACCCATTTGCTTCATAAGCTCATATATGCACGGAACTTTCCTGGCCATTATCACCGAAGCGCAGATGTGCGTTTTTTTTCCTATTTTATGCATTTTGCAACATTTCTATCTTTATATAATTAAAAAAAATTTTGGTAATATGGGTCAATTTTCCTGTTTTCCGAATAATGCAAATGGATTAAAGATATTTGTTGTTGGAGCTCTAAGCATGTTTGTTTTCTCTGTCTAAACCATGTCCCAATTTTTGTAAACATTTGAAAAGTCATTACAAGTATCATGTTTACTCATGCTTCGATGAACATGAACAATTACGCAGTTTCTGTGTAAGTAAACTTACAACCGAAACTGTATGTAACTAAAAAAACGATGATTCCATAAACATAGACTCGTTAAATTATTGTATTCGAACAATTTCGCAACCGGGACACAGTAAATTGCAAATATTTCGAATTTAAATGTTTAAATTTTCTAACGTCCACGGTAACCATTTTGAATTCTTCAACTACGCATTTGAATTCAAAATATTTCACGAAAGAATTCTTGTTCGATCTTAGCACAGTAGATCAAGAAATCAGGATCATGCTCATGACCAGGCATAATAGAAACATGATAAAATAAAAATATCTAATAGAATGTCACCTATTTGTTACAATAAATTACCAAACTTCACAAATTTCCGGCGAATGAATGTTGTCATGGCGTAGATAGCACGTCCTTTCCATCCAGTACTCTGAAACGGAAAACAAACATTTATTCAAAACAATTACATTAAATTAACAATGGGTTTCTTACAGATAAAGAACTATTGAACTATAGGTGTGCCGTGAAAAATTGTAAATGGAATCAGAAACGCGTAAATACTACAGTATGGATAACGGAAGTCGCGAAGACCATCTTGTCCCGTAATATCGAATTAATTTACGATAATTTATTCGAAATTAAAGAATTATTAAACGACAGTAACGATAGAGAACTAACCAAGGCACTAATAATTGGTATGAATAATTAAATGTGAAAAGTAGAGATCACGTACTATTTGACACGAGCGAGCTCACTTCACGTCTTATTACTCCAACTTTCCGGAGACGAATGACCCTTAGGCCGTCTTTGAGTAGTCGCGATCGGTTGATTCGGCTATCTTACGAGGATCGTGATTGGTAAATCAGTGGACAAGGGTAACAATTTCTATTTTAACCTAAATAGAATATTCAGCACTATATTACACTTTCGTACAACCTTTTTTTACGTATACCTGCGATTGGCGGACAATGACCCTCACGAAACGGAAAAACAGACGCACAAGGACGATTTCTTAGAAATTTCATTTCGCAGCAGTCCTTGGTTGTAAACAATGTCAGAATCATATGTTTATACATCTGGTTGACAAATTGTCGAAAACTCGTATTCTAATTTATTCTACGATTAATAAAGGAATTAAACTACATACATAGCCCAGTCTATCCTCGAAAATTTGTTATTCCAATTCGTTTTAGATGGAAAGTATTAATATACGATGTTTCGTGATATTTTTGTTGCCCCTTTCTCAATGCTTTGAAACAGCGTGCTTTCCAGAACGCCATCTGTGATATATACTTCCCGCCAATTTGACAATGATGCCAAAGTTTAGGAAATATATGTATGAAGATATTATTGTGGATAGATAAAGAACACACATGTGAATGTTAATATTATTTGTTATTCACTATTGATTCATGAGGATTCCCCAGAGAATCTAATATATATTAAATTGTATACAACTTACATTATTGTTATATTATCGTGTAAATATTATAAAGTATGTAAAATAAGACAAAAAATTGAGTACATCTGAATGTTTGAATACATATTTGTCCATTCTTAATGAATTAGTGACTAATCAAGAAAAATAATATAATGGAAAAACTATTTTCATTAAAAATTTTGTGTATTCCCTTTTTCAAATACAGATTCTAGCATAACGTTAGGTTCATAAAAAGATCACGTGACTTTATGTGACATCTCTGTCCTCAATAATAAGTACATATAGAACATTGTTTTCAGTAATGTGTTGACAACAGTTGACAGCAGTTGACACTTTGACAGTGTGCTGTTCAGTGCTGTTGTGGGTTGTGACGTACATACGATTGTTATGTGTTTATAGACAGTACTTTTGTGGTGGAAGTGCATGACAAAATTAATACCATATGTGGTGTCACTATATTTTGGAATTTCTTACATTTCCAAATTCATTTTATTTAGAAACTAATTTAACTTAATAATTAACAGAAAGTAACATAACCTCGAACTGGTTCTATCGAATTTATTCTGCAAATAAAATATTTGTAACACCATGATAGACACAAAACGGAAGATAATACAAAAATTTAACAAAGAATTAGGTTCCAGTTTGAAAGGACTGGAAAAAATATACGAATTTCATCAAGATCTTAACGCACAAAAAAATGAAATCGAGAAATCGGTACGGATGTATGAATATTTATTTATGCATTTAAAAATTTATTTGATTAATTTAAATCTTGATATCCTAAATAACTTTACTAATCGTTCTTTAAATTTTTAGTTATCAATGGCATCGTCTGAAGCTCCTTCGAAGGTGAAGGTAGTAATAGAAAGTGTGGAAAAAATAACTACTGAATTCCAACAATTAGAAATAGCTTCTACAGAGTTTAGAAATGACATACAGAAAGCAATGTATGAAAATGATAAAAGTTTAGACATGCAAAAAATTATTAACACAATAAGTCAATTGGATAAATCCTTAGCGTATTTGAGTTTTGTAAAATATGTTGAAAATATTAGGTGAACTTTTATTTAATGATTTATATAGTGTGTCCTACAGTGAATGATTAATCAAGAAAAAGATTTTAAACATATTTTAAATAAGGTGTTGCTTGTTGATAAAAATAATTTTGAATATATTTAAGACATTAGAAAGTTTCATTAAAATTCAACTTAGTTTATTAATTTGTTAATCAATGTTCAAGATATAATCACTTATTAGTTCAAGCAAGGTACATACGATTCAAATTTTTCTGTATTATACAGTCCACTTGTCCACAGAATAGTACATTTTCAAAATCATTTATTTTAGTAATAAATATTTTGATGCATTTTATAACATATTATCAATTTATTGTAGAGTTGGGTTGAATTTTATTCGAATAATACACAGTGAAAAGCAGTAGTATCTAAGGGTATCGTCCTTGAGCTTTAAACAGTTAATGAGATTAAATAATTGTTTGACGATTCATTCATAAGGAAGAATTATTTATTTAAAAATTGAAATTTCCACATGTAAACAATTAAATATGACGAAATCTTTTTTTATCTTTTATTCGTTATTCGAAATTTTTTATCTAGATAATGAGTTTGCCCATCTCTGATTTATTGGTGTATCACACATTGAAGGACACCCTATGCATCTCATAATTTTCTTATAATTAAAGAAATATTTGTTTTTAGTGACAAAGTTCAACTGTCTTTAGCAAATGGTGATGATGAGTCAACTATTTCATTATATACAAATCTTACGGATATTAGTTGTCAGTTGCAACAATCTGCCTGTTATCATCTTGTAAATTACGTAAGAGAAACGCTACACTTTTGGCACAACCTCATAAAGGATAAATTGTCTAAGTACATTCTCTTACTATATATACTTTTCTACATTTACCTACTATTTAATATATATAAGTATGTACTGGACAATTTTTGTGAAATAATCTAACTATTCCTAAAGTTTTAACCCCTTGGCCTATAACATTGAGTCAGATTCGTGTTGACGATTTCAAAATCGATTCAGCAAAGAAGAATATTATTCTGTTTTCTTTGAGTTGAAGTGAAATGCCACATTGCTGGCATTAATATTTAACTTTTACAGTAAAACTACAGTTGCGATAAGTACAGAATTCCTTTCGTTTCTGGGAAACTATCGACAACAATACAATCCTGGAGACTGTAGATGTCAAGAAAAAAGTAGGGCAAGGGGTCAATGAATTTAGAGAAAGGTATTCCAATTAGAATTGTATATCGGACAATGAAAATCTTTGATTTTTGCACTAATTATAAACGATATACATATAAATTCTACATATTACTACAGTTAAAATAATATTTGGAATTGCATCTAGAATTTTCATGAAGAAATACCTTTAATCCAATCACTTTATAGTACATAATAAAGTGTTAAATAATTTTCACTGTATGATGCTGATTTCTAAATCAAACATTTATTTTAGATAGAATTTCTCTTGTACACTCTGCAGTGAAAACCAAATCAGAATATACACAATGAATAGATTGTTTATACAAAAAATGTTCACATATTAATCCTTAAATAATTTATATATTTATATACATAATAAGTAAATATCTATAAACATGTACATGAGATTTAGTTATGAATTATATTTCAGTTATGAATTACCCAGAACGCTACATAAATTAATATTTAAATAAGTTTATAATTTACTGAATAATCTGTGGACAAAAATATACAAAAGAAAGTAGATCTCAAATATAAGTATTTGAAAATATACATACGATTTTAATAGGTTGATTTAAAGAAACTAACTATAGCTATATTCTGCCCTAAAAAAGTAATTTTGCATCAGCTTTACATCCTATATATCTATAATTTAGAGTATATAGTACAGTTGATAATTCATAACTTGTTTACTAATTTGTAAACCTACCACTCACCTTGTATTATACAAATATGAGAATTATTTGACACAGCTTTACTTGTTTAATGAAATATTTGTATGAATATTTATAATAATTTAATTACATAGCTATTTAAAGAAAAGGTACTTGTGAGAAATTTGTGAGCTAATAATTTATTCAGATAGTAACGTAAACAATGTATCTAATGTTGCAAAATACATAATGTAAATTGATATATTCAATGTACAAATGAATAACGTTCACGATAGAAAGTATATTCATGCAGAGATGCACTATTAACACATTGACTGTCACAATTTCTTAACTATAAGTGAATTTCTTTATAAAATGTATTCGTTTAAGTTTTTGCTATTGTAAATATAAATATTTACATGTTCACTTGTACATTCTTTGTTTGGATCATTGCTCTACTACTTGTTATATTTATAAGATTTTAAACGATACAAGGTTTAAAAATTAAATGCTTTTTCATATAATTAAATGATGCCGTCACCGATGACCACCGTGATTGTCAATGTGTTAAACTATTCGCTGCTAAATATAGCGCTGCAACATATGTACAACACTCATATTTATTCAATATTCAGTGAAGAACATTTAAATTCGCGTATTTACAGATAATACTTACATGTACAATTTGCAGGGAATACAATGATATATTGAAGACACTGAAATGGCCATTTTGTGGCAGCAATTCAAATTCATTAATTACAACCATGCCGGAAACATTAACTAAATTTAAAATACTTACAGAATATTTACTACATTTGCAATTACCGTATCCTTTCGTCGAATATATTGTCTTTTTTGTGTTCTGTTAAAATCGTTTATATTAAAAAGATTATATCATCCTTAATGCAGTGTATGCAGAGAAGAATCTGTTAAACCAATGGTAACGTCAGTCCTGTTAACAGACTTTTCACCAGTGAGTTTGCCAATTTCACTAATGGTACGACCACTGCGACAAAGATTTATATATCACTTCACAGGTACAAAATTAACAAATCGACAAGACAAACCAGAATGGTTTTTTACTCAAATATTAACATGGATTAAGGATCATATTCAGTGGGTACAAAAAAATGTTCAACCGGTAGCAAATTCAATAGGTTTTAATCATGTAGATATGAAGGTATTACAAGAGTATTAATACCTTGTTATTTGTGACTGAAATATATTGATAATGTTTACGCACAAATTACTTTATTGCAACAGGTAGAATTTATGCAAGCTTTAGTACAGTTAGCAGTCGAAAAACTTCATTCGGAGTTAGCAATAGTGCAATATGACGATGCTTTATTTGCTCACTTGGTGGACGAAGCTTTAGGTTTCGAAAGAGAATTGAGAGAAACACTGTTCTATCCATCGACACAACCAGCTACAGTTTTTGTTCTTACCCAAGCTCATGTTTTTGTAAAGTGGATTAACATGGAAAAGAAATGTAAGAACATAAACTATTTCTTAAGATTTAATAACTTACTATATAATTTGTCATTAATATTGATATGATAAAAACTTAGATGCTACCGAGAAAATGGATGCAATTCTTAGTTCAAGTACTGCTTGGGAAAAATTATCAAATTCTGATACTGATGACATGAAAGTGACAGAATGTGCAGATGCGTTTCTTACACTCCTTACAACAATATCTGATAGATATAAACATTTGCCTCAGCCTGGTCACAGGTATGCATATCATATACAAGGTGTCAAATCTAACTTGATTAAGGGGTCATGCTCAGTCAGAAAGCCGAAAAACGAGTGTTTCTTCGGAATTTTTTTCTCAAAAACTATAAGACCTTTTTAAAAAAATGTGTTTGTGTTTCAAAGATTGCAGTTTCTAGATTATAAACCGTTTGCGTCAATGCAAAGTTGCAATCTTCGTATCGCTGCATCACGTGCATGTCTTATTGTTTCTGAACTTATTCTAGCACATGTTGGAATTATGATGCAGCGATACGAAGATTGCAACTTTGCATTGACGCAAATGGTCACCACTTCGAGCATTTCCTATAACATAGCAAAAAACATAGCATTCCATTAAGAAAAATAGAGATGACCTTAAAATCTCCTCTATGCCTTCACCCACGCAGAAAATGTTTGTGTCACAATATGCCGCCCTCTATACCGTGTAAGTTTTGTATATAACATTTTTTCATATTATTACAAATAACGGTAATATTTAAAGTGAACATAGTTATTGCCCCACCCTGTATACATATATTTTAAAAAAGATCAAATTTATAGGAAAAGCTTTTCTTGAATGAGTCACGTTATTCGTGGGAAGCAAGTAATATTGTAGTCAAATGTTTATTTTTTATGTACGAAATGAAATTTTCAGGTTACAGTTTCTAGAGCTACAACTAGAACTCATTGACGATTGGAGAATAAGGCTACTTCAATTATTACATGAAACTAACGAAGATCCTTTAACATCCCTTATGCCATGCATTCTTAATTCTTTACACTATGTTGCAACCGTCCTAGAAGAATGGGGGGTCACAGTTGTAAGTGTTTTAAAACTAACCAGGTACTTATATTACATACACACTATTATTACACACTAATTAGATCATTTCTTTTTCTTAGCATTTCTTGCAACTATATTTTTTTAAGAAACAATTTGAAGCAGTTGAGTCTGCAACCTTTGAAGGAAGTGATATTACTGAAAGTATAGGTGAGGTAGAGGGTTCTGTGTTCGATGAAGCAGTTGCCCTTTTGAGAAGACTGGAAAAGGAATTAATAAATGAAATTAGCGATGCAGTAGCTTTAGATGTAAAGGCAAGAAGCAGGCCTTATAGAACAGATAAGTGAGTATAACCTATATAAACTTTAAATATTAAACTCTTTCACTGATGTTTGGCGCCTATAGGCTTGAATATTTGCTCGTAATATACTCGAATACTTTTTTTGGACAGCGATTGCTACAAAGCGCTTAGTATTTAATATTTACTTACTTTAAAATTATCAATTTTTAAAAAATATTATTTTTGTATAGAATCTAAATATAATTACACGTAGAGATGAATAAAGATTTATCTTTTACAGATGGTTTGCAATGCAGTCCGCTAAAGAAGTTGTTTCTTTGTCGGTTACTCCAAGTGGTTATTCTATGTTTCAAGAATTAGCAACACAGCTTAATCAGTTGTATAATACACTTGCGTTGCCGTTATTTAATCAGGCTTGGAAAAATTTAGCCCTACAATTTGATCAGGTAAGAAAAGATTTATATGGAAAAGCATAATTACATACAGAAGTTATACTAGAAATGATTTTTTCTTACAGTTTCTTTTAGAAGAAGTTGTTTTGGTAAATCACTTTAACACAGGCGGAGCTGAACAATTGGAATATGATATTTTTAGAAATTTGTTCCCATTATTTGGCTTGTACATCAGTAATCCAGAATCATATTTCCCACTGTAAGTAACATTGTGCGTGTGTATACAGAGGCATGTATATACAGATATTTCCAAATTGAATTTATATCTAGACATTTATTCATACAATATGTATAATTGTTGTTCCGTGGTAAAAATTGCGAAACAGGAGATATCTATGTATAAATTTATTATCATCAGAGTTGTTAAACTATGTGTAATACTTGCCATCACGTGTTTAGAAGCTTGATCTTAAAAATTCTGTACTTCTGTTATATTATATCATTATCCTCTACAACACCTTAAATTTAAAGTACGGAGTTTCAAGTTACACACATAAGTACTATAGTAAATTCTGTGTTTTCCTTATTGAATATTCAAATTATATTTCAGGATTAAAGAAGCATGCGTTTTATTAAATATTCTATTGGGGTCAGCAATGTTACTACTCGAAGCTCTTGATAACAATGATGAAACTACAGCAAAGGAGATATTAGCAGATATTGGGGTTCTCAAAATGTCACCCGAACTAGCTCTGAAAGTACTCGGAACTAGAACTAACATAGCTTATATGTAATGAGATCTTTTAATACATTGAGAAAATTCAATGAATTTCAAATATATTTAAAAAATATTTAAAGAATAGAAATTTGATTTGTAAATAAAGATATACAATATTTTACTTAGATAATACTTACATATTTATCGAAACGATTTTGGTAGGAGATTCAACAAATTAATGTAATACCGCCGTTATCTGCGCCTAATAATAGTAATCGATTAAGAGGAAGAATCGCCATTGTAGTAAGGAGCCCTTTAAAAGTGTCAGATTTTAGCTTCGATGATGAGAACGCAGCTGCTGTTTCAATAGATGTAAAAACTCCTACACGATTTGCTGTTGTTCCTATAACAAGTTCTTGTTCATAGGTGGACATACAGTGAACTGGTTCTGTAGCTCCCCTAAAAAATTTTAAATAATTAGAACATATCTTCCACATCACCTTAATTTGAAAAAACAAATATCTAATTGCATTTATATTCTAATATATGTATATATTTTTATTTATTATCCAGTATATTTTCTAACATATGCATGTATATATTTAGTAAATCGAAATTTGTAGACAGTAGATTGGTCATTTACGTTACTACATCCCATGTAAACAGATATAAAGAATGTTTGTGAGATGAAAGAAACAATAAACAATGTGATATTAATATTTTATCGACTAGACTTTCCATTTAAAATAATAGTTCATTGGTTTCAGGAAATTTTATTAAGATTACTTTCAAATTATTGCAGATATCGGAATGAAAAAATAAGAATACATTTAAAATTCAATATGTGACGAAGGAAAAACAGCGTAATCGTTGATATAATAAAAAAATATTACAAATATGACGCTATTTACACTACTTTAAGTTATATTTATTATAATGTAAATTATCGATGCAATAAAACATGCATCATTACATGCAAAATTATTTTCTCGTATTTATCAGAAAAATGTTGTTAACAATGAGGCAATAACAGATTGTTATATCAGCGGAAAAGTTTTCAGTTTCTGAATATCACTCGAAATTGATTCTGAATGAGTAAGAAAATACCACTGGTTGTAATTGTACTCACTTCATATGGAATTTAAGTTTCCCATCCACTGCACTCCACACAGCGATAGTTTCATCTAACGAAGAACTAACTATAGTGGTTTCATTTATTGTCTCTAGTTGTAATATCTAAACAAAATGAACATTTTTAAGAATTAACCGATCAGATACGTATTTTAGTTGTAAATAACCTACCTCACATTCATGTCCCTTCCAAGATGCAATAATAAGACCAGTTCGAGTGTCTAAAATTGTTAAAAACCCTGATGCCTGACCTAGGGCTACCCAATTACCACTAGGTGCTACTGCAATACATCTAATTAAACCTGTGGGATTCACAGACACCTAAAAAAGAAAAGAATATGAAAACCTTCAAATAAAAACTACTTGATATAGTCACGATCAAGACAATTGTCCTAATACGTACCTTCATTTCATTTACATACTGAAATGTTCTACAATCAATAACTCTGAGCGTAATGTCAGTTGTTCCTACAAGCAAAGTTGTAGATGGTGAAGGACTTGCTATAAATGTGTTTACTGGAACAGGTCGAGAATTTTCCGGACATCCAAGAAGGGAACCCATAAAAGGATCCCAACAATGAATTGCACCATCACAAGTGACTACGTATCTTAGAGATTCTAAGAATGTCAGCGCAAGAATAGATTTTTTATGACCAGTATAAGTATATTGGCAAGATGAAACAGTATTCCCATCACCCTATTAACAAAATATATCCTTTCAAAATTTATAACCTATTCAATTTCATCTGCAATCTGCACTTAGTTATAATAAGATTTTTAGTTGACATCAAATCAATGGACAATTTAAAGTTCTTAAGGATAAATTCGTTAAAAATAAGGATCTGAGGAATTAAATTCTCAGAGAAATGCAAGCGCTGTTAGGCTAAAGGTAGCACAAGTTAAAGGTAGTTATTCTATTTTCCGTAATGAAATGATACAATGTTACTTTCAGCCCTTCATAAATTATTTTCTTCTTTATCGTTTTTTTTCATAATTGTCGATTAAACCGTACTTTCTATATACAGGGTGTCCCACGCAACTGGAATACGCTATACCTCCTAAATGGTTAGAAATAGAAGATAACATAAGTAAAAGTTAAATGGTATCAGACGGTGCATAATATGCAACTAATTTTATGGTCTTTTGTGCATTGGTGCATCAGAAAAATGCAACTGCACTTTTTTTTTAAACGGAAACCTATGTTTTTGACTGCACCAATCGATGCAGTTTCTTGTGCTCTACATAAAAGTACTAACATACTTATGCCTTAAACTTATTCGTTAGGAAGCTATTGAATTTTCATGCTTACAAGTATTGTAATGGAACATAACGTAGGTACTCCGGAACACTTACCGAGAGACTGAAATAATTCAGAGAACTTTTAGCTTCGATAACTTCTTAACGAATAAGTTTAGGGCATAAGTACGTTAGTACTTTTATGTAGAGCACAAGAAACTGCATCGATTGGTGCAGTCAAAAACATAGGTTTCCATTTTTAAAAAAAGTGCAGTTGCGTTTTTCTGAAGCACTGATGCACAAAGGTGCATAAAATTAGTTGCATATTATACACCGTTTGATACCATTTAACTTTTAGGAGGTACAGCCTGTTCCAGTTGCGTGGGACGCCCTGTATATCTCGTCGAACACATGTAAATATTACACTCTACATATATATTACCTGACTTCTTAAACTCCACAACTTTACAGTTTTATCTCGTCCGCCACTTATGAAACTGTTCTCATTATCTAGTACATGTAAGCATCTAATACTGTTAGTATGTCCGCTAAATGTTTGAAGCTTTATTTGCTTTACGTTAAATGTCACATCTTTGTCTGATCTTCCAATTTCATGTTCCCAGTATGCCAACCAATTCCCTCGTAATTGCCTTCCAGTATACGATGAACTGGCTTCTCGAGTGGACATGTTGTCCGCTGTAGCATAATCCCCAGTACTGGTCTTTTGTATTGCAAATCTGTTACCTACTACTGATATATTTCCAAAATTTGATACGTCTTTGTGAACTATCCCTGAAGTTTCCGTTGCATTATAATTACTGTTGTATGAAGCGCTGTGTTTATTATGATCTGAAAAAAGATCGAAGAAAGAAAATATAATTAATTATAGAACCAGTAAAATACAGTTTATATTATTTGATATATCTATTATATACAAAGAAACTGAAACAGTTGAGTCGCATTAAACGAGTAAGTATAATATTCCCCTATTATAATCATGTCACCGTACTCATTATATTATGAAACTTTTGTTCACTTCGACTTACTCGTCTAACAAATAGTATGTTCTTTTCTTCGATATTGTTCAGCAGTTTCAATTACACTGCATCTTATTGTGATGTATTGTATTGTATTTAGACTTGCTTTCATTACAGATATAATACAAATAAAAAATACTAGTACTCGTAATTTATATTATCGGAGTTCATAGAGTACCGCTCAAACAGAATAAATATAAAAGAAAAAGCAATAATCCCATTATTATTGATTCAAGACAATCTTATGCACGAATCTAAACTTCACTGTGATTAACACTTTAAATAAATTTTATGAATAAATAAATATAACATACCGAAATTTATTGTATTTATTTTTGTATCTTGTTCATACTTTTGACATAAATGATGTATGTGTCCATAGTTTTTAAGTATTTGTTCCATAACTTCGCTGTCGATGCATTTATAAAACAGCATGTATGCTTTATGGGCAAATTCTGTTGTAAATACAGCCTTTAATTCGTCAAGTGCCTGAAAATTAATTAAAATGTCACCATGAACGTCTGCGAATATAATGAAATAATCAATAATTGACGTGCTCGTTAAAATGTTTAATTACTTTATTTTTCTGATAATCTGATATATCCATATTTTCTACAACTGGCGGAGAATAAGAATCAGCGACGTCTGTATTAAAATTTGATTGAAATGCACGAGTATCTCTATTCTCCTCATTTAAGCCCTTTATCCTGTGTGAATGTACAATCATCTGTATCACATTTATTGTACTATATTATAACCATGCGTATTGTACAGGATGAACCACTGGTTGAAATGACACCAAAATTATATGATGTAAAATTAATAAAGAAAAAATATATGTACAAATTCGAGAATCTAATGACAAAAAAGTATTTTTTTTACTCTTATGCTTCCAAGGTTATTCGGAGGGCCCTAAGAAAGGGCATTAAAAGAGCCATGCTGAATTTCAGATGACCTTAGCTACAAGGACAATAAAAATATCTTTGATCTCAACAGATTCTATGATTTTGTTCATAAGGTGGCTGATACTAGCACTATTTTAATTGGGACTTACAACATCAGCATCTAAATATGTATTTAATTAATAACAGCAATAGATAGATGTCATAAAATTACCTCGCCAATTGTTCGTTCGCTGCTTTCTGATTAATTTCGCTTTTGAAATTCCCCACAACATTTCGATTAAATGATTTATCAAAGGCTAAGAAAAATCGTTGAATAGGAACAGCTAAATGATTTTTTATAACAACACTTCCCAATCGTACACTGAACATGAATACAGTCTCCAGACATTTTTCTGCTAATACTGCGCGTGCAATTACACCATTAGGAAAAGTAAATCTTGTAGATGATAATATACGTACTGTAGGGTACAGTATTGCTTTTACAATTGGTTCCTGTAAGTAAACAATAATATCTTACTGAATGTAAAGGTTTTTTTTAAGTTTAAGACCTATCTGAAGAATACTTACGTGAAGGCAATCCATTAAAGTTGCGTCATTAAGGTACGGTGTAATATGATTTAAAAGAGTCAAACACGAAATAAGTCCTCCTTCTAAATTTTGTGTTAGTTTTCGTTTACAAAGAGCTATCAATTCCACCATATGTGCAAAGTATTGTAATATTATAATTTGTTCCCCATACAGACCTGTACATGTATGGAAGTTTCGTTAGTTTTAGTAGATTTTGACTTAATACAAAGTATTATTCAAGAAAATGAACCTGCAATGGCTGTAAGGCACTCTAGAACTTTGACAGCATTACGATCGCCAACTAAAACTTTTTCTTTGCGAGTAATACCCTGCACAGACGATGTAGTTTCATCGATTACTGTTAAATTTTCCTCTCCTGTGTAACACAACGCAAGCATTCTTAATAAATTTCGTGATAAATATCTAGCAGTGAGTACAGGACCAAGTCGATGAGATAACCAAATAATAGATCCTGCGCTCATTTCTGATGTTGTACATTCATTTGACATCGATTTTTGATAAATTTGATCTATCTGAACGTTTTTATGTACCGCAGCATCAGTTTTAATGTCATCTGTTTGTAGTACTATAGAATTTTGTTCCTCCGCATTACAAAACTCTTCTGAATTATTAACAGAATCGGTAATTCGACAGTAAGAACCATTGTACAATAAATATTCCTCATTGGAAGTTTTACTCCCTACGTTGCAGCCGATATTATTAAATTCTATTACCAATTTATTTGGAGAATTCGATGGTTTCGGTATAGGAATTGTTGGCGATTTAATTGATCTCAGTGGTGAACTTTTGTTTCCTTCGTCATTTAAGTCATCGTTCAGATTCAAATTCAGATCTATATGTAAATCAATATCGTACGATGCACCAGAAGTTAATGGAACCCAAGAACTGTCTTCTGCATCCATCGTGAATACTTCTGAAATATGTAAGAAAAATTTGTTATTAATTTTTGAATATACAGGGTGAAGCAATAACTATGTCCACTTTGAATATTGCCGTTATTTGTAATAATATGGAAAAAAGTTACATACAAAACTTACACGGTATAGAGGGGGGCATATTGTGACAAACATTTTCTGCGTGGGTGAAGGCATAGAGGAGATTTCAAGGCCATCTCTATTTTTTTTAATGGAATGCAATGTTTTTTTTATCGCAATGTGATAGCCGGCGTTGAGACGACTTCAGCGAGCTATCATTGAATGTCATGGAAGGTCAAATGTGGTAGTAAAATAAACTTTCTTACATTACAGGAGATGCTCGAAATGGTGACCGTTTGCGTCAATGCAAAGTTGCAATCTTCGTATCGCTGCATCACGTGCATGTCTTATCGTTTCTGAACTTATTCTAGCACATGCTGCAATTATGATGCAGCGATACGAAGATTGCAACTTTGCATTGACGCAAACGGTCACCACTTCGAGCATCTCCTATAATGTAAAGAAGTTTATTTTACTACCACATTTGACCTTGCATGACCTTCAGTGATAGCTCGCTGAAGTCGTCTCAACACCGACTATCACATCGCGGTAATAAAAACATAGTATTCCATTAAAAAAAAAAAGAGATGACCTTAAAATCTTTTCTATGCCTTCACCCACGCAGAAAATGTTTGTGTCACAATGTGCCCCCTTCTATACCGTGTAAGTTTTGTATATAACATTTTTTCATATTATTACAAATAACGGCAATATTCAAAGTGGACATAGTTGTTGCACCACCCTGTATATCATGTTTCGTAGAGATAAACATGTTTAGTTGTGGACCACCTTCGACATCATTATCAGTTAAAATCAGGTTATGTGTATAATCAGTTGTTATAGGTCCAGGTGATAAAGAAATCTGTTCTGAACCTGCAGAAGAATCTTCGTCCAACGGTGACAAAATTCCTTCTCCTTCATTACAAATATCATTTAAATCGCAGCTTCTTTAAAGAAGAAGAAAATAATGGTAATTTTAGAAGGTTGTTTACAGACATCATTCCTTTACTTACAACAAAATCATTTGCTCTCGTAAATATTTATGTGATATATCCTTACTTGAGATTACCAGTTTTGTGAGTATAAACTGAAGATCCCTGTATATAATCTCTATATCCCCCAACCGCTTCCACGAGAGGTGTAATAAAATTTTCCAAATAGCGTCTTAAACCCATTCTTACTGTAAGCTTTAACAGAAAATTTCTATGATATAAACGCGTGGTTCTAAATTTTGCAACTATCCCCGACGGCAGTATGTCAGCACACAACGAATTGTCCATAAAAGAACCATTTTCATATAACTTCATAATAGATGTAAGAAATGTTTCTGCGGTATCTTTGGGACCCAATGCTCTGAAACAATTATTATTAACCAACGTTATAACAAACAAATACGAACCATTAAGATCTTAATAGGACAGTCAAATACAAAACGAACTCACTTGGCAACAGGGTCAAATAAATACCAAGCAGCCAAAACAGCGCTGTAAGGTTCCTCCATTACTTGCTGTATATGAGGCACTATTAATTCTAAAGCTTCTCTTGCAATTCCAACGTGGGACAGTAGATGTTCCAATTCCCTCGCAATTGCTTTAACTTTGCATTCGCTGATTTTACAAAGAAATCTTGTTTTTGTCTTAAATGTAAAATCTGGATCGTCTTCAGACTTCACCATAAAATTTAACTCGCGCACTAAACTGCTGTATTCTTGTAGCATTTCAACTATATTGAATAAATATTTATAATATTTTGAAAATGGTAATAAACTTCCAAAAAGTATTGGCTGGAGAAACTGGTGGGCAGACGGTGGTGGTAGGCCCATATATGTAACAGTTGGATAACGAAAAGGTGTATCCATTACCTAAAAGTATACGCTTAATAAACTACATAATATATTATTCAAAAGACACCTCAATTTTCTTAAATGTAACTCTATATTATTATATGATAACGAAAACATATTCTTTAATACATTAAGTATAAACATCTTGAATGAAATTAAAATAATTTTTCTCGAATTTGGATTCCAATGTTACGAGCACATTCTATTTTGCATAATTCTTGTACGAAATGAAACTTACTTCTGTGGTATCAGCATTATAACTTTTTGGTACAATATCCACTTGCAATAATAAAGCTACAGCATGTCTTACACACTTGGGTAAACTATCAGCTGATATTTTCAAAGTGTTCAAACACACCGCAAGTCTTTTTGAAAATGATACTTTCTCCATATTCCATGTCGCTCGGAATTTATTGGACAAAAATATTTCCACGATTAAGCAGCCAAGTATTTGTTGTTCTTTGATGCGTCCACTGGCCACAATTTGTTTGTAATTAATGCATGACTCGTGCAATTCAATCTCGGACTTATAAACCTGAGAGCTCACTTTATTCATAAATATATGCACAGTTTCCACATGGGTAATACCTGCGACTGGATTATAGTCTTTAGGAAGAATTATTGTCTGGCTTGTGGATTTCTCTTGTTTGATCACATCTTCGGTGGAGAGCAGAGAGCCCCGTGAACGACTTAGTAATCGACTTAAAACCAATGGTGATGATTTAGATGTACTCAAAATTGAAACTGGTAGTTCTTCTTCTTCAAACCCAGAACTGTGACCCTCATCGTCACTAGCTCTATTTCCACATTGATCATTTTCTAATGGATATTATATAATTATTAAAGAAAAACTGAAAATAAAGATCATTAAATAATTAAAAACTGTATAGACATACTATGTTTATTAAGTACAAAAGATGAACGTAATCGAGGTGGAATTTTACACCAATAAGGCGAAGGAATTATTTTTTGTGGATGTGGTTGTGTAAAAAGTTGAACCACCCCAGAATTGGTTAAGCCAGTATGATTGTCAACAAGCTGTAAGCAAACATTTTTCGACTTCACTGCGGCTGAACCAGATAATCTGTCGAACAGAAAAATCAAATAATAGTAATCGCATCCATATTGAATGGAATACTAAGAAGAATCAAGTACACACTTGTAGCCAAAAGTTAAATCTATCCAATGATGTAATCTCTCGGATACATAAAAACTTTCCAAAGCTTCTCTGTGTTTCTCTATAAAATCTTCCGGTGATGTTGCCCATGCAGGAATTTCTAAATCTGGTAAATCTTCGTGAATAGACTGTTCATAAAAGTTTTGAAACTGTTACATATACGTATATTTTACATGAATTTATTTTAATTTATTATCTGTATCTTACTTTAAAAACATTAGGATCGGAGAAAAATTGTGGTATACATTCATCTGGACTCCAGTCGTGTAACCTTTGTATAGACGCAGGATATTCTCCTGGAACCCATTGGGGTCTTACGTGTTTGCACAGTACAGATTTATCATAACGACGCGAGAGATAAACATAATACGTAATTTCTGACAGAACATCCGAAACGTGATGACCAACCTGGAAATATTGACACACCATTGTTAACCCTTTGCACTCGACTGTCACCTCTGAAGTGACAAAATGAATGGAAAATTAGAAATTCTGAATGCAAAGGGTTAATAACATAGTTCACATAAAAACAAAAAATTTAATTTGTATGAATACATACTGCTACAGATTGTGAGTCGAACGTCAAATCCAACTGTCTATCTCCCTTGTTTAAACGAAATTTAGATTTGGTTAGATCTCGCCAGTTACCACCACATCTGGATGTAAAGTCCGTAACCCAAGGCATAACGTGATGGCAACTTGGATCTCCGTATCTTCTTCCAGCCATATTATTTAGTGCAGTCAAATAATCATAATTACTAATGCAATTATAGACCCACATTTCACACAACTTCTCGATACTTTCATTCGTTCCAAATCTGGGATTTCCTTGTGACATAGCGCTCGATGAAATTACATCAATAGTTTTTTTATATCCGCTGAAATTTTTCCATTTTATCTCATGATTCGCAGAAACTTTATGAACTTGACTTTCTGATTTGATATACACATTATCGCTCAACTTTGGTAATACCTGTCAATAATATCTGATAAAGCTGTTACAGTTGCAATAAAAAATTACGCCGATAAGCGATATTTATAGGAAATTATGTAATGATTAACCTGAATAGTAAAATTATCCATGAGTAATATATCGCTGAGGGTAATTTCACCTAATACTAGGCCTCGGTCATGTAAATCTCTATATAATTGTAAAAGTTGATATACCAGAAACAATGATTTTCCATGACTCATGCTTAAAACAGCAGGACTGTACATAACACACCTATAATAATATTAAAAACTTGTAATGTAAATGTATAATTACTAATTAAGTCAAATATATAATGTCGCTTACTCCCGGAGTGAGTATTCTGCAGTTTGTTCATGCAATGTCACGAAAGCAGATGCAGTTTCAATAGCGAAAAGTATTGGAAGAAGATTACAATGTGCCTCAGTTGTCACACCGGGTAATACAGATAAAACTAATCCATTCTGAATTTGTACTAAACTACAGCCATACATTTTTTGTAGAACTTCTTGCATAATTGATGTATCGCTTACATTAGCTGTTATATTACATTGATCTTTATGTTCTACACAATTCCATGGATCTATTTACACATGTAGATAAAGAAATAATTTATTACTGCACATTTAAGTATGTTATTAATTCGTTGATTGAATACTTTTGTTAAGATACATACTGTAATACTTTTTATAACATTCTTTCCATAAATTTTGATAATTTGTTTCCACAACATAATGCAATAATTGTGAAAATGTTAAATCTGGTTGAGTACTTCTATTTGTAATATGTCTGCCCCTTACAAGTGGAATTGCATACTTATTTTCTTTTTCATAAACCTGAAATCATAAATAAGTTTACATCTTGAGAATTGTTTAAAAAATGGTCCAGTATAATCAGAATAGATGTTCTCAGCTAAGACAAACAGAAGTGACAAAAGAAACATCTAAATATTTTACTTATATTTAACACATAATTTTACATTTAAAATATATTACTTTTCTTAGAAGTAGAACGACACGACTATTAAGTATAATTACATTTTCTTAATAAAATCATAGGTTTTTTATGCAAAATAAAATTGTTATAATAAAAAATGAAACAGAGAATACTTCGCGAAACGATCCATGCATCAATAAATTTTTAGAAAAAATTATTTAGAATTTCTATTATTTCAGAAAAAATTATTTTTCATTGTAGTTAAGTTTCATTATCATTCACTTCAAATTATGTTATTACGTACAGGATGTCTTATTCAAATTGCCTATTTAGAGTAAATTTTAGTCTTGATGAAGTAAAATAGATAACACACATTATGATGAATAACAAATGTGGTTTATAATATCAAAGCCTAAATGAAAGTGAGATATTCAATAGTTGTAATAACAGAAGAAATAACAGTCATTATCTAGACATTAATACAATAAATGCAATAATTTATTACTACAATGAAGACATCTTAATATCTTATGAATATTTCCACTTAAATAAAAGTATTTTCAATATACTGTTGTTGGGTCATAATTAAACTATGAATGTTTATGCAATTAGAGATATCTATGGACTAATTGTCAAAAACTAAACTCAGACAGAGATTTACGTATTATGTTAAATGTCTCACCAGGTTCTAAATAAAATAAAAACCTCATTAAAGTGTTATAAACTTTTTATTATACCCACTTACAAATGCGGTATACGATAAATGCATAAAATCTATAGTGTAATTATAACGCACTTTAATATATTGTAGTAAATTTGAGTAGATAAAAGAAATATGTAAGCATGTTAAAATCTACGCATTTCTTTAAAAAAGATAAAAAAAGAAACATACTTTGACATATACTCTTATCCAATTTGAACCCAACTCCTCAAGCATGGGTTGTGCTGCAATTTCATCTTCAGTTAACTTGTCATGATTAATAAATGAAATCGGCCCTATGGTAAGTAAACTAGTCAACCAGCTTTTATGAACAGTTAAACAAATTTGTCCATCCGTTATTTTGATATACTTTGCTGGCACAAGCAAGTCTTTTTTTATCACATCCATTTTCTAACTTTCTATTTACACTTATAAAACAGTAATCTCGAATACACAAACACTTAAAAGATATTTTAATGCAGTCATTGTCTTTTTACTTTTACACTATTTCCTGTAAAATATACTTAAATTATATTATACAATATAGTCCTTGGATTTAATAAAACAGATGACATGTTGTTATTGAACAGCTGAGAACAGACGCCATATTTTGATCACTTTCCATAACACTATTTGTCGGAGTTCTTCACGCGTCTTGCTTGTTTTCATGAATACAGAGTGTTTGGTGGTGTTTGGATATATCTATGTACATATGTTACATTTTTAAACTCTTGTTCTCCAGTGTGCAATCAATTACATCAGATTATTTTTAGTCACTTTTATTTGTGGTTATGTCAGGATTACGATTCTATATAAAAGTTGCCCAGTTGATAGGTTAAATATAATATTTATCCAAATGTTCCCCGACATGAAAATGAATTTTTCTCAATTTACACTAATAGCAAAAAAAAATTATCTCGAACGATTGCGTGAGGCATGATTTTTCTCATTTACAATTAGTCTTTTCCGTCTATTTTCCCGCACAAGAATAAGGTTCATATTTCATGCATACATATGAAAACCACCTGTATTTTTTAATAGTACATTTATTATACGATATAGTTCATACATATACACAGAAATGATAAGAGATAGGTACATGTTGTCGGATTAACTGACCAGACGTCCGATCCCACAGGGGCCAGTTAAGCGGGGGTCTAAGTACTGTACTTCATTTAATTGAAATTTCGCGTGAGGACTTAATATCTATTAATGGTAACCACTTGCTCTGGTGTTGAGATAATTGTCCACTATCAATTCAGCAGGCAATTATTGCAATCGAATGCGTACCACGATGGTCGAACTTGGCATTTTAAAGCCTCAAAATGTTTGAGACTGTACAGGATTAATCAAAGGGTTGAAAAATTGCGTTTAAACACATCAGTTAATTGTTTATATGTTATATAATATGTCTTAAATATTATCTTAATTATCTTAAATGTTATTGTTATTGTCTACTGTCAACCCATTTAGTAACAACCGTATAGTTCAGTTTTGCGGTTCAAATAATAAAATTTAAAAAAATCGATTTATTATTTACAAATAAGCTCTACATACACGGTTTTATTCGTTACTCGAAATAAAGTATATCCAACTCTGATATCCGCATATATGCACGCTTATACTTTTCCCAAATTAAATTCCCCTCAAGATTGACCTGATGTGTGATACGTACCTACTTCCGTCAAAACCTCAAGACTTCATACTTTCACTATATACCGTTCAATAACAAAAATTCAATTTCAAAAAATCACCAGACATTAATAATCAATCTACCTCAGATAGCACATGACGCCTTTAAGACGTCCATTTTACGGCTATTTTAGGTCTAAGGCTCCCTTAAGCCGTCTTCAAGGTGTAATTAGCCATCATGTGCCTATCTGGGGATGAAATAAATTTTATTTATGATCTTGGTTTCTGTTAAATAATCATTTCCATTAATATTTTGTATTTTTTGTAATGTAAAAATTACATTGTAAATTATTCTACTTTGTATATGAAAAGGTTCTACGTGAGTTCGTTTCGTTTTGTAATTAAATTTCCGATTATATTCTTCAACCCTATCCCAGATAGCGCACAGACGGCTTAAAAGCGCCTCAGACCTAAAATAGCCGTAAACTGGGCGTCATGTGCTATGTGGGATGACACCGATTAGTGTTTTTATTTTTCTAAATTTTATTTTAAAAAGAATACTTGGCGATTATATTACTGTAGAAATGTTACGAAATCTGTAAGTCACATAACATCTTGATTTTTAGAAGGTGGCAAGCGACTGGTGAGCGGACTAGCGTCGAGTTTCATGTGTAACCGGACCGCAATGCAGTTCAAATTACATGATTAAAGATAGTTCAAATGACATCACATTTGAACTTATTTTTATCGGTAGTATTTCAATAAATTTTAAATAATTCACAAATTTTATTTATTCTGCTCTTTTGTATACACAACAAATTTATGTATCACTTGCCATATTACAGTCTGCATAAGCTACGTTAACATCATATTGTGTTAATATATTGCATTAAAATAAACAATATGACATGCTATACTACATATTTTTATTAATTTACAATGTTACTGACATACATATCACATACACAAAAATTGTATATAGTCAGCATTTTATAAGATGTATCAGAAATAAGGAAACATTAATACTTTGTACAATTTCTTTATAACAATTATCATACAATTAATATGGTATTATAATCTACTATGTATATGTGTCAAAAATAAGTAGCTTTAGATAGAATGTTTGTATCAAATTAAAATCAGGTTTTACACAATATCTTTCTCCTGCATTACAGAAACTGTATAACTTGTATCTAAATACAAAAAATTTGGCACAATATGCTCGCAAGTACAAGAATAATCTTAATCTTGTTAGAAGTCCAATGTGATCAGTCAATTTTGGTTGCTACTTACTTTTTTATCATATTGCACGGATCATATATTTCATAGTTTACAATAATATACAGAGTTCCTTACAAAAGGTTTATAAGGGGACTATAAAGGGTTCCTATTTGACATTTTCATGAAATAATTGTGATACACAATTACATAATGTTATACGTTCATACACATAACACAATACATATGTATTATTGTAGTAGATAAGCAATACGTAAAGATTCTGCTTTGTCATTCTAGTTTTAATACAAGTCATGAATTTTCTGGTACAAATACATAACAATTACAATTTACTAACTCTTTTAGGAATGTTTTGTTATATATCCATAATTCATAGATGCAATTTTCTTTCTAATTCAGGTACTTATTTATAATTACTACTTTCCAAATATATAATATTTACAATTTGAAAAAAGTCTACTCATTTTTAAAATGCACACAAATAAGTATTCAAAATAGAATACCTGTCAATTGAAATCAACACTCCGAAGAACATTTTTTGGACACGCTAATGGAACACAATCTTTGATTAAAATATTTGAATCTAATTTGTACCTCGAAGATCCTAATTTTCAAGATTTTTAATATATAAGAAAAATAATATCAATTCTTGTACTTTCATAATTCTTCGATTTGAGATTTTAATAAGGTAGGCAAAGGTGGCATACCTGCTGCTATGTAAATATCTGGTGAACCAGTCGCAGGAAAAACATGGTACAGTATGGCGTAGTAATGGAATCCAGCTGCTGCAGCAACAAAAAGATGCCAGATTGCATGCGCGCAAGGTATGCGACCATCAGATTTAAAAAATACCAGACCAGTAATGTAAATAGCTCCTCCCATTTTCAGCTCAGTAATGTTGTAATAATTGTACTGGAAGAATTAAATACAAATATTTTAATGATCTACGACTATTGTTTGCACCATAATTTCACATGGCATTGTCCTGAGAGCATACGTTGTTATGTACTTACAACATTAATGATAGCAACACTAGGACCGATTCCCATAATTACATAAAAAATTGTTTCTAACATTTTGTATCGTTCATGGAAGATTTGTTGATAAAGTATGCCTAATATTGCCATAATCCAAACAGTGTAACGCATTAAAAACAATAATTCATCGTGAGGGAAATGATCTACATTTAACCAAGGAAAATAACTAGCAGCAATAAAAATGTAAATCATAGCACGATCACAACGATGAAGTGCATCCTTCAGTTGCCTGTAATACAACCCAATGTAAAAAATGTAATTTTACATAATTACAACACTGAAACTTATTTAAGTACCTGTTGTAATTGCAGTAATGTACACTATGAAAGAATGTTGATATGGCAAAAACAAGAATCAAAGATGTACCATATACACAAGCTGATACTAATTGTGTCCACGTTGCTGAACGACGGATAAGTTCTAAGCTCCCTAAGACTGACGGTACAACCCAAATTCCATGAGTAGCCACATTTGCTACATGCTCTATAGGAGTAGGGTTATACGCTTCATTTGTACATGCTCGAGGATTCATCCATTTTATTCTGTAAAGATTTATCGTTATTATTGTATAATCCATCTCTAAATATTCCTTTCCCTTTGTGAGTATATACGAAATAATTAAATAAAATTTATTACTTGAAGCTTGATGTTTGGGATGAATAATGTAAAGTAATAGTATAAGTTATTTTATTCTGCATTATTAGAAACATAAGTAATGACTGAATAACTAACTAATTCTAAAATCTTATATTAGGGTCATTTTTATTCAGGATTTCTTTTATGCTTTTTTAAATATGTACACTATGAAACACTCATGTACATACAAAATAATGTTGTCACTTGAACAGCATAGGCATGTTTATTTATATAAATAACTCTAGTATACAGGATTTAGCTGAATATTTAACTTTTAATTTTCTATTTGTAGTTGTATATTACATCACTAAAGAAGACTGTAATGTCTATTGTAAAAAAAACTGAGAGATACTAGATATTAGAAACTACTACAGTAACATGGAACTTATATTATTACATTGACTTGTAACTTCCTCCACTGATGTTTTTTCTACAAAAATCCAACTTCATTTATATTCGATCAACTAATAAATAAATCACATATGTTCATTAATGGTACTGCAATAGACATTATATATTAATATAAATTGTAAATTGTGTATCAAAGACAGTTATGACTCAATCTAATATATGAACATAAAATTTGATATTAGCAAATGTTCGTCAAAAGATGTTCCTTAGACAATATGAATGTTCTGTGATGAAAATTTTGAGGGTCTAATTATATATTAGATATTATGAGCAGTATTAAAACATCAGTAGAATATTCAAAAAATCTAAAGAACACAAAAGTAAGTATAACTGTTCAAAGATAAACAGAATAAAAAATTGTATATCCGTCATCATTAGATAACTCTGTATGAACTCTGCTTTATCTACTTGTAGAAATCTATATAGATAGACAGTTAAAACCTACATAATTTAAAAATATGTGGTATAAATATTAAAGATAAGTTGCTGTGCTCTCTATCTAGAATGACATATGTTAAATTTAAGAATACAATTATAAAATTTGAAAAGCACAAAGTCATTTATAATATTTATTTTTGTTAAAAATGAACAACACCTTCCACTTTATATCTCGAAAAATGATATGCAATCTACAAAATAAATAAATTAGAAAAAGAAAATACATCCATGTCTACACATATAAATGAAACTACAAATATTTTTTAATTTATTACAAGATTACATTTTATATTATGAACTGTGATGGAACAAACTATAGAAGAAAATACACTGGAATAATGTTTAAAAAACCTGAAACAATTTCAATTCTTTTAAGATAAATCAAACCATTTACTGCTACACTTTGAATCTTTTCATGTAATTTCCGAAACTACAAAGATTCTTTGTAAATTTTTTCAAATTTTAACAAAAACTAGTCTGTCATTGTCAAAATGAAATAAATCACGAAAACTTAAATGTGTAATTTACACAAAGTTTCAAGAACTCAGAACGAAACCAACTGTCGTTTGAAAAGGAGCTGAATGTCACTCATTATTTACATACCTCAAAGTCTTTATAACTTTTATTTAAGCTATCTTAGTTTTGTGCATGCATGGATTTGTGTGTATAATAAAGTAATAATCTAATATTGAACTACACTTCCTAAGATACATAAATGTACAATACCTACTTGTTAATTTACATTCGTTGATAACATTCAACGTGTTCCAAAATAGAGTAAAGATTCAATTGTTTAATCTCCACATAACTTGGATGTTCCATGGATAATAATTCTGATGCTATGTACTCATTTCTCCAGTTACAAGCATAACATCAACGCATTCCATTTAAATATACCCAATCAAAATACCCAATACATGCAAAGTTTTAGTTCTACTAATAAAGAAGATAAAATTGAAAAATATATATACAAAAAAATATTACATAAATACAATGAAAATAAAAATAGGTACAATAGTAATGCATAGTCTTAAGTTTATTGCATAAGAAGTATTTTTAATAGGTATTTAGCTTGTTAAATCGGTAAGGGAATTAACTTTTAGGGTTTCATACTGATATACAGGGGTAATAAAATATAAAACAACATGCTGCATTGAAAATCAAATGTTATTTCTTAGAGCGATTTACAGAATTAGAAATGAAATACAGATTATAGTTATCAACTACGAATATAAATACCATGCAAAGATTAAATGTCATTGAACGATAATTAGAGAATGTTACTTATATATTAATTTAGACAATCGTTGTTATTGTACTAAATGAGTTAAGCAAATTAATATACAATCAAATGTGAATAAATTAGTTATTTGTTATTTACTGCTTGTTATTATATCTTACTTTTTAATGCGTTGAACTTGTAAAACATTTTTTATTGGCGCCGCAAGTAGCTGATGAAAACTAGATGTATCCATGGTGTTTTTCAGGAAATCAGTAAATTTCATTGTTCATAAGATGTCAGTGTCACCCCATCGGTTTAAACATTAAAATAAAACGTTATTTAATGTAACCGTATCCCTGCGGGATTTTTTTACATCATGCTTTATATATCTAAATTATAGACACGAAATATTACATAAATACTAACAGTGTTTTTACTTGTTTCATTTTAAATAATTTACTCCCTCATCTTCGCACTCGCGAAACGGGCGTCACGGAACTATGAGATCTACTGACAAGTGACACTGTCAGTCTGACAGCTCTCGAGTCGCTCTACCGGCTCTACTGCAAGGCCGACGAAACCGCGAACCATAAATATAGTCAATAGAACTCAATACACGAAATAAACAACTCTTTACTCCCAACCACTCCCAACTTTAATGCCATTGTGAATCAGTATAATCACATTTACATTGCGATTGTAAGTTTAAGTATATCGTGTATTTGATTACTAAAATTCAAATGATCCAAATTCATTAATCATTGTATGAAAGATTTATAAATACGTATATTATTATTATATTTATCAATAGATCATTATAACAAAATTTTACAATTGAATTTTATACATTCCTAGATAGCACATGACGCCTTTAAAACGCCCATTTTACGGCTATTTTAGATCTAAAGCGTCTTTAAGTCGGCTTCAAGGCGTTATTAGGTGTCAAGTGCTATCTGGGATAATACTGATTTTTTTTAAGTCGTGGAAGTGAAACAAAACATTTCCAATCCAAATAGAAATATGAACGTCTGTATTTTAAAGTAACAAAATGTTTTTGGTATTCAGATAATAAATCAACAGTATGGATCATATATATAAAGATTAAAATAATATACTGTGCGTTTCATAACACGAGGGACCCATTTCAGCGTTGGACGGGAGACAAAAAACATTAAAAAAATGTTCATATAAATGTGCGTGTCCCATTTGACCTTGTTCCCGAATTATAGCCATTATTGTACTCCAATAATTCTCAGTGACAAGCTGAGTTATGTAATATATAACTGATTCTGCTAAATTTTGTTAAATTGACTGCCCAACCTTATGTTGATTTCTTGAGTAATCAATTAAATAAACTACATAGAAAAAGTACTACTTGATGTTGTATGTCACACATGTGGTTCATGCATGACTGCAGTGCTCCACCACATTTTACGAAGTAAAACCGAACATTTTCTAAACAAACGATTTCCTAACAAATGTGTAGGTCGTGCAGGATCTATTGCTTGGTCTGCTAGTTTTCTAAACATAAATCCACTTCATCTTTATTTGTAGGACCACCTTGATAACCAGTTGTGTACAAATTCCAAACAAATTGCCAGCAATAAAGTACAAAAGTTGTCTAAAAAACCATAGCCATCTATTTCTGCATTTGAGTTGGGTTTTGTATGCAACGCTAGCTAACAAAATAGCAAATCAAATTGGCAGAAAGTCTTGCAACATGATCTAGGTCAAATTGAGGGCACACCCAGAACAAGGTTTGCAGAAACCAATTTGCTGCATATGTTGCTGCCAATGTGTGTGCAAGGTGTTTATAGCAAATCTTGCATAAAACTTGTAGCCATAACTTTATAACAGGCATTTGGCAAAATTTGGCTTTGCAGGTTTGGCTTACTGGGCACTTGAAAACAATTGTTCACTCAACATGCGCTGCTGATGTTGAAATACTTCGTCAACGTGAACAACAAGACTGCCGATGAATCCGATAAATTATACCAGGAATTTTTGAAAGATTGGGAAACTCTACAATACAGCAACAACAAGCTTGCATTGAGGTCAAAAGTAGCGATTTTGAACACTTTTTATAAAGGTGAGCAGTTGCATATTACTGGAGTACAAAAATAACTATAACTTGGGAAGAAGCAAGGTCAAATAGGACACATGTTTATATGGAATTTTCATTGTTGCGTTCCACGTCCACCACTGAAGTGGGTTCCATATGTTATGAAACACCCTGTATATCATTTAAATGTAATGAAATAATAATTTGGTATTATTATGTAATGATAAGTAATAATACACGTATGGAAATAGCTTGCGCAACATTTTCATTCCAGTTGTCACGACAACAAAGAGTCCGTAAAATAACATTTGGTGTTTATGCGTTTCAAGTTTCATCGTTCCGCAAGTTCAGCTACTACTGTCAGCTGTTCAATATATGAAATAATGGTAGTATACAGCAGCGTATAGTAACTTATAGGTATCATTCGACATCTGTTCCCAAATATTGTATAAGCGTGCGCGTGCGTATATTTGTGTTTGCGTACGTGCAAGAAAGAAGTGAGTGACAAAGAAAGGCAATAAAACCAAAGAGCAAAAAAGAGAAACAGAAAGAAATTAAGAAACAGTGCACAAAGTGTTCTTGCGCGCACCAACTGTGCGATTTATGCAAAATCTCGCGCGTAACGTGGATGTATTGACGCAAGGATTAAAATACAGTATATCAGGACTAATGAACCTCGCAAATCAAACTACTGATCCTCAAAGTGATGTTTTCTTTGTTAACTTCAATCAGGATTGCACGTAAGTGTCGCGCCCTCCAACTGCTAGACATTTCGGGACGTCGTCCTTTGTTCCCTAACCTTGTTTTCCTTATGTTTAAGAAACTTTTCCCTCAGAGTCAGATAATACGTATACTTATGTTTACATAAGATTCATTTCTTCGTTCAGTTCAGTGTAGTATTATTATATTTTCTATATAATGTACCTGTTGTATTTGTACAGTGGTTTCAGCACCTGTATTACTCAACTCTCATTTTACCAAGTAATGCGTATTAATAATTACGAATGATTAATCGATTGTTATGTATCAATATGTTTCTCCCATCTGAGAAACATTTATTAATTAATTATTTTATCGTCCATTTTACAGTATTCTTTTACCTTCATTAACCTTTTGAATTATTTAAAAATAAGGAATTGCCATTACTTTACAATTGGCATCCATTAATCATATTATCAATTAGCAACTCTAAGACACTTTCATAAGTTTTATGTTATTATCACTTTAGCCACTTGAAGTTATTTAATAAACTCACTAGAACTCACAATTATTAGACAAAAGCCTATTAATAAATCTTTTAGTCCTAGTGGGGAATTACAATTGCGAACTGAATAGAGCAACATAATGTAGTAACAATTTCTTTTTAATGCTTATTTAAAGGACAAATAGCCTTCTGGGTGAAAAGTCTTAATATGTTTATTAAAATTACCAATGTATGTATCATTTTAACATACTTAAGAATACATAAATACGAGTCAAATTTTCAAGTTTTTATTTTACAATATTAATGATAGTAGTATTAAATTTAAATTAAATTCCTTACAGATCTTTGGCTGTAGGATCGAAAACAGGCTATAAACTTTTCTCTTTGAATTCTGTCGACCATTTGGAAAAAATATATGAAAATGGTAATGAGCTTTATGGTTTTCCAAAAATGCGTTACAAAAGAAGTTAATCAGATTATTTGTAATTGTGTGCACAATAGATACTGAAGACATATGCATTGTTGAACGACTATTCAGCAGTAGCCTTGTGGCAATGGTCAGTTTATCATCACCTCGTAAACTCAAAGTTTGTCACTTTAGAAAAGGAACTGAAATTTGCCACTACAGCTATTCGAATACCATCTTGGCTGTGAAACTCAATAGAGCAGTAAGTTTTTTTTCTTTCTTTCAATTATGATAATAAAAACACACTGATATTATAATTGAAACTTTTTATATAAATCATAAGGACCTTCATTTTCTTTTAATGTTTACTAATACTTGTATTAATTTTTAGAGGGAAAAAAGAAATGTTCATTTGTTTAGTGGTCATTTGTGACTCTTAGTATAAAAGCTATCAAACTGATTCACTTTAACATTAGTATTGTATTGGGTTGAACAGAAAGTTTCTACATTTTTTGTTGTTATATGTACAACACAGTACTTTAACAATATATGATCATAATGCGTTAAACTTTATTGTGCATTATCTAATTACGATGTTATGAGTCACAGCAATTGACACCTTGTATTTTCTGCATCTCTTGCCTTGGCTGCCTAAAACATAGTGCAGCATCTGTGTTAAAATCACCCGATAAAAATCTCTGAAACTGCATTGGATACATTTGAACCTTACTGATACCTTCTCCAAATATTTTCGAAATGGCTTTTATGGTTTGTGTGACAGTAGTGTCAGTCAATGGTAATTTCAAAAAATCGAAAGGCAATGCACGATGAATATACATTTTATTATCTGGTGTTTTTGGATAATTTTTACGTCGCGGTAAGAACCAGCAAGTTGAAAACGCAACTACTGAGAAAGTACATGATAGAATCCAGATTGTAATGATGAAAATAAAATATAGCTACTAACAAATTATGTAATAATAAAATGATAAAACTTTTCATTCGACCCAATAATTTTTAACTGCCAGACATTTTTGCCAATCAGGTTCTGAGTGAGATTCATATAAATTTTTTTTGGTTTAAACAAACATTGTCACTTTGTGAAGAACTTTAAATTTTTTATTGCTAAAATTCTGCAAAGAATCGATTTAGATTTTTGACCAAAAGGAACTGTTAATTTCGTATTATATGTGCAATTGTGACTTGGCTCGTATAGTTATAGTAATATATTGCAATGAATATTATAATGTAGTATGAGATATTTAGTAAGTATTTCCATAATTACGAAAATCCTATGATTAAAATTTCACTGAAATTACAGAAATCTATATAAAATAGTAATGTGTATTTGCAGAGATTAGTAGTATGTCTGGAAGAGTCGTTATATATTCATAATATAAGAGATATGAAGGTGCTACATACAATTCGGGACACTCCACCCAATTTAGCAGGTCTGTGTACGCTATCGATAAACAGCGATAATTGTTATTTAGCCTATCCAGGCTCAAATACTATCGGAGAAGTTCAAATATTTGATGCGATTAATCTTGTAAGTGTCTAGAAAAAATTGCAATAACACTTTCTATATTTCAGTGTCTGTATTATGGTTTTCTACTTTCCTACTTTTAGCAAGCTAAAACTATGATTCCTGCACATGACAGTCCATTGGCAGCGCTTGCATTTAGTCCTAATGGTACCAAAGTAGCTACTGCTTCCGAGAAGGGTACTGTAATTAGAGTTTTTCATGTGAGTATAATTATTCGTACGGTACTAATTGTTTGTTCAGTTCCTAAATTTAGATGCATTGCTGAAGGTTCTTTATATCTCTGAAGGTTCATGATGGTACAAAACTGTTTGAGTTTCGTCGTGGAGTTAAACGATGCGTATCTATAAGCAGTCTTGCTTTTAGTATGGATTCTATGTTTCTTTGTTGCTCGAGTAATACAGAGACAGTGCATATATTCAAATTGGAAGAACCAAAGGAAGCGTATGTATAGCGTTTTTTTCCTAATATTGGTCGAATTATTATTGTATGTAAATTTTACTGTTTTGTTACAGACTGAGACAAGCTACAGAAGAGTCACAAACTTGGATGGGATATTTAACAAAGGCTGTGTCTGCGTCAGCAAATTATTTACCTTCGCAAGTTACTGACGTATTTAATCAAGGACGTGCCTTTGCCAGTGTCCATTTGCCATTTCAAGGATTGAAGAATGTATGTGCCATCACAGTGTAAGTACCATTTAATTATAATTTCGTGTGCTTATACGTACGTTATATTTTCTAACACAAGTATTTATATTATCATGCAGAGTACATCAAGTGCTTAGGTTGCTGGTGGCTAGTGCCGATGGATATTTGTATGTTTATAATTTGGATACAACGGAAGGTGGAGATTGTACACTTCTAAAGCAGCATAGGTTTGTACCTTTATAAAACATTTCGTATTTAAAAATAACTTTATAATACACGTGGTACAATTTGTTTCCTGTATCGTCGAGAATAGTTTGTTTTCTATACCTTGAACTGGCTAAAATGTTCTTTCACTTGACAGTGTTGCTAAATAGCATACACATTTAGCTTTAAGGCATTAGAAGCATAAGGCATTGTGGTTAAGCATCTGATTAATAAGTAGGTTAATGTCCAGATTAGTTTTCTTAGGCAACATTTGATATACGTATTCACTATTTTCATTTATAATGAATCTAACCTGAACAGGTTGTAACATAGTTATAAATAATTGAGCACAATTTGAAATAGAACGTTGAAGATTGCAATGTAAGTAAATCATTTCAAAACGGACTGTTTTAGACAATTTGTGAAAATCAAAAGAGACATGTGTCTTGCAGAAGATTTATATTTAAAGACACATTGTAAAAGCAATTATCATTTTATAGATTAGACGGCAAACGTGATGAAGTAGATTGCGCTAGCGTATCCACAGCGGGGTCAGGGTCTGGAGAAACTCCTGCAGCAACTAGTGCACGAATAGTACAAAATGCAGGTATGACGATATCATAAATATTTTATTGTACAAAATATAATGTAGGTTTTAAAACTGAGCGAGTGACGATAAAGATATATTATTCGCAAGAACATTGACATACTAAAACTTATATTTAAATGATACTTTTTTTTCTTACAATTAAATTGTTTTTTTTTTTTAATTAATGTTAATATATTAGTAATTTTCTGCTGCTAAAATGATTGAATTCGTATGGAAACATTGAGATATTAGTTTAGTTTTATATTTTCTGTGCATACACATACGCATCCGTAAACATAAATACGCGAGCGCAAACACACACTGAACACACATACCACGCACAAACAAATTTTGTATAAATCGGTGAGTAACTGAATGAACGAACGAGTGAGTGAAATTTGCGCTTAAATGCACAAATTGGTAATATGTCGTGACTAATATATAAATATAGCAATGCTTTGTTGATGCATATAGTATGCATTTCTTTGTATATAATGTAATGGAGATCAGTTACGTTAAAATTGATAACATACATTTGTACCATTTAAGAGACTGTAAATTTACGAAACTAAGTGAATGTTATATTTCATTTTGAAAATACCAACTTTTGAACATTGTGATACGGTCTATTATACCTGAATCTATTATAATTTGAAAAATATATATACACTTTAAATGTAGGGTTAATTTGATACATTGCATAAAACAAGTGTTATATGCTACTTTAAATTAATTTATATCATCATGTTTACGTAAACATGAATACAAATGGTTATTGAGTGAAATTATACATGGTTTTTTTCTTACACAGTCAATGTTGAAAGATTACATTTTTTTTTAACATAATGCCTTTTGTAATTTGTTCATGTCATGGAGATATAAAAATGTGAAGTGACCAGAAAAAGTAGTAATGGCTACTAAATGGCTTATTTATAAATTTCATTAACTATATCTGGACCCCAGAGCCAGAGTCTACTTTTTAAAAAAAAATTACATTTTACATGTTGCCTGTATCAAATATTTCAGTTTCCGATAGTAAAAATTATTTCATTCTACGTCGTCTAGTTTTTCATATAGGTACCTACATACTAGTTTAAAAATGATATTAAGTTCATATTTTTAAATTTCCATCACATAAAGGAATTAATGCGAAATTCACAATTTCTACATATAGAGACTTGTCCTAAATTCATTCAATAATTCGAAAGTAGCGATTGTTTCTCGTCGAATTCTTACCGAACGGTTTCAAAGTTACAAGGTTTTCGCGCCTTTGATTTACTCTCCTCGAAAGTTTGAAAAGTGTGACTTAACACACTCTAGCTCTGGGGTCCAGATATGAAAGTGCAAAGAGCTTGTGGAATATACATGCCATTCAGAAATTTGTTAATATTCTATTACAGATATTTGTAATAATTGCATTAAATGATATTATCAAATTTCAATATTAAATGAAATGTTATTTGGATAACAACTACAGAAAATTTGTGAGAAATAAATGTAAAAAGAGATATAAAGAAACTGAACGGAAATAAATAAACAAATTAATTTTGCTTGGTATCGATAACATCATTGCTTCACTGTACCAAGAATATAATTTTTAAAGTTCATTTTACTTCAAACTTTTGCTATTTCAATTTTACCTCAGTTAAAAAGGTTAGAAAGAAATAGCAGGGTTTTTTTTAATATATAGTAATAAATCCAAACACGATCTTAATTGAACTTTTATAAGTTATTAGGAGGTTCTGAGAATGGTATTTGTTTATTAAAAATCCTTTCACTAAGGCGACATGAAAATTGCAGAAATTGTATTTCTCATATAATGAGCAATGACTCATTGTTTTCACTGCTGAGCATTGAATGCTGTTGACTTAAAGAATTGGTTGCAACGCACAATGTTGGCAGGAATAACTATAAGCATTTAAGCGTCTGTCTTGATTAGAGGTGAATCGGAAATTGAATCTTTAACAGTACAAGATATGAACTTTTTGAAACAAGTGTACGAACAATTAAGGAAATCGACTTTTGACTAAAATGTTTTTGTTGCTACTTGACGTCCTGTAATAATCTTACAGCAGTACGTTTTTGATTTATTAAAGCAATGAAACAAAGTACACACGATTTTGTTATAACTTCTGAGCACACTAATCTAAACACTAAAATTAAACATAACACATATCATGTGTTAGCCATATTCCCCCAATTAAATTTAGTACAGAACAGAGTAATTGCATAACTCTAGTCTAGGCAGGCATTAATAGGCTTTTATATACATATAATAAAGTAGACGATAACAAAATTAAATGTAATTGTTACAAAATAATTGACACAGAATACGAAAACGATGTTTTAACGTTTTATATAATTGTTTATTTAATATTGTGATCATAAAATAAAATCAACTACTTTAATACAGTTAGTACTTATGTATAATTAAGCAGTATAGTATAGGCATTATATGGTTAAATTTAAATATTTTTGTTTGAAATGTCTTATCCGTTTAAACACAGAATCATTTAATCAGTAACAAGTTATTATTTCAGAAATTTGTTTCAGTCGCTTACAGTGTGTTTTATGTATTATAGGTATAAAGATTTTCTTTTAAGAATAGGGCGCTAAAAACATTTATTTGCTGAAATATTGTTAATTTTATTGTACCAAAACATTTTCAACAAGTTTGTATTAAAATCTATAAATGTTTGTATTTTTCTTTAACTTCTTTCACTTTGTTCAGTAGTTCTACAATTTTATCTCTTTAAGGCTTCTATATGTGATGCACTTGCTTGTTGGGATTCTTGTGTTAAGGTCAGATAATTCTGTTATATTTGTAGATGCTGCTTTACTAATTGTAACATACATTTTTATGGTATGTTATTTTTAGTCTTTCAGTCATCTTGCTATACTAAAAATCATACATTTACAATATTCTGTTAAAAGAGAATAAAAAATGAATTAACTTACAGAATATGCCTGAATAATTTTAAACGATAAGTGATTTTTTTCTTATTTTTATTCTGTTCAATTTAACTGCAATGAAATACTGAATACTTATATTAGTAGTAGGCATACATAAATAATTATATGTTATTTATACAATGTAAACATTTAAAATGTTAAAGAATTGTTGTGTAATACTGTGATTAAATGACAGAGTAATTATGCTTGATTTTGTTATCGTTCATGTTTCCTACAAGAAATAACAGTTTTCATATTGGAAAAAACTTAACTGTTGATTCAATTATGTCTTTAACTATATATATGTATATAAATAGTTTAGTGTTTTTACATACCTAAAAAACCAAGAAAATTAAAGAAATATAGGAATCATATTTTGGAAGTTGTTTTGACTCTTTATTGACAAGATGAGATTTTTAAAAAAATTATACTTTTAAAGGGGTAACTAATAAGTATACCATGCATTTATTCTATATATATTAGCGTTGATTATAGATGAAATCAAATGAATATGATTTATGAAGTTTTTTTGTACAAATAATTTACTGATTCAATGTGTGTATATGTGTGTGTATGTAAGCGTAAGGAGGCCTTGTTTTTATAATGCACTGATGTCTTCTTTTTCCTTGCTTTTAACCCCTTGCAATTAAATAGGCAATTTCTATGGGGGCTATAGGGGGGCCCCCAAACAACTGATCTTACTTGATGTAATTTTTTTCTTTTTATCGTCCATTGAAGCCTGCATAAATAGCTACGCGGGTGTGTTACGCGGACGTTCGCCAGACTCCATGTCAGGTACTGGTATATCCTCTTTTCTGTCCCTTGTTTATTTTCTGCACACGCTCCATTCATAGTTTCACAATGAATTTTTTTTTAGTTGTTTTTTTGTACTTCATAATATATTAGCGTTTGCTTTGAAACACACACTAAACAAACGAATAATATAGATAGTAACATGCAGCAAGTTTTTATGTGGCTGGGTAATCAATTTCTAATGTATGTTATTATAGTTTAGACATAATTAATAAATGTATTTTAGATATATGCAATTGCCTTATTACACGCTTTCACAAATCTAAACTTAGAGAGTTATGGAAATGTAACTTTCAAGGTATGCTTAATATGCACACATGCATCATATTTGTAACTATACGAAATTGATAATCTTCGCATTCAAATTTCACGCTCGCTACGTTTCATAACTGAGCTTACTGAGAAATTTTAAACAAATGTTCAAATAACATTACGCGCAATAAAAGACACATACAAGATATTCCAAAAGTTATGATGTACAGTTACGAAAGTAATTAATGTGTTGACAAATGTTTTATTTTTTAAGTTTTTGAATTCCCATTATTAAATGAAAAAGGTAAGAATAATAATAATTCTGAAGTGTATACGAAAAATACGTAATTTTAAAATATATCTGCAAGTGTATGTCACTTGGTGGAAGAAATATAGTAACGTCGAAAAAACTCCAAGGAGCAAAATAGTAGTGTTATTAAATGTTGAATGACCGATAGTTTCAGAACTGATCTAAAGTGAGCAAATCTTGATATTAACCCTCGGATGACGATGCCTATGTCCATTTTGACCCTAGTTTTCAAGAACTTCATCCAATTCAACAGTTTCCAATATTAATTCGAATAGAAAGGTAGCCAATTTACAATGAAATTCGTTTAAAAATACGTTTAAAAGGAATGTTGCACGAGGGTCAAAACGGATCTACGTTCTGATTTTTGCATTTATTATAAAAACCATCCGCTTTTCGAGGGTTAAGTACTATTTGAGCCTGGACACTCAATTGGAAAAACTGTTGCTTATAATTTTACCATGGGAACAAATCAATTTGCTTTTTTTCTCATATTAATATTGTACCATAGAATACGTTGTTTATACTGCTTCAATTTTTATAAAAAAATAAAAGTGAAACCAAATCTAGTTCAAAGCCATTTATGACGATATCTACCAAACAGTCTTTAGTAGTAAAAAACACGCTTTATAAAGTATTATTTATTAGACCATTTGAATGGACCCCAAATAAGTCACTCTACTTCTTCTATCAAGTATATATTTGTTCTTACAGCAGACAAATGTATGAGACTAGTCAAAGAAACTGCCGTAACTTATATCCATTTATAGCTGTGTACACGATTATGAATCATCTGAGGTGCAACGGCTGTTGGCACGCACGTATCAGTTACAGTATTGAAATAACGTATGAAAAGAAAACAATAAAAGGTGCTGGATAATATTTTTCTCATTTAAATAATAAATTATTAATAATTTCATCATAGAATTTCATAGAGCATCGTGAAGGATTTCATAAATACAAATATATATATCATCCTTTAAGGGAAGTTTCACCTTTGGTCTATAAAGACAAAAATATTAAGTGTATGGTTCTTCATAAGTAAAGGTTAAAGTATAAAGCCTGTTAGTTGCTGGTTAAGAATCCTTCTAAACAAAAGAAGTTGCCGTATTTCACTTATTCTACATGTATTCTATTTGCTTCCTTGAGCAAATAATGTCGTACTAGAATCAATCGGTGTTTGAAATAAGCTGATGCAGAGAAAATATACCTTTGTAGTTTTGGCTAAGTGCATTCACTGCATATTGACAATACGCTAGCCTACCTTAGAAGTTTACAAGCCTGTAAACTTGTTATGTTGTACTTCTGTTAAGAGTACGTGTCCCTATATAAATTAATTATTGCGAACATGTAGGTCAGGCTAAGGTAGCCTATTTCGTTCAATGTGCAACGTGTAACACCCACCAAATTGCAATGTTCAGGCTCAAATGTTAGATTTCAAAAGTTATTAAACTATATTTTGAACTATTGGCATTCAAGATTTAGGAACATTACCTTACCATTTTCTATCATTTTTACTACAAATATATAATCATTATTAGGTGACTGCCAACATAGAAATGAATTAAAGAAACAATTGGTGCTATTAAATGGAATTCATATTATTACTACTATTTATTTATATAAACTGTTACAAAATGAGTATTGGTTAAAATAGTGTCTAAAACTAATGATATTATGAACTAATAAGAGAGGAAAAATTTTAATCATCTTACATTTAAATAGTTTCAAGTGGAATACAAGTAATGTTTATGTTTCTTCCTCTGTTTTGATATTTTAAGGTTAACTTGTTTTTTTTTAATAGAATATATTTTTATCTTAATATTTTGGTAGACAGAGAAAAACAACTTTGGCCATAATTTAACATGAAGTTTTTCTTCGCTGAATTGCGTCAGTACAATGTTACACTATGTTGCTAAATTTGATTCCAATTTATCAAAATGTTATTATAAATATATGATTGCATTTTAAGAAATTAAGTCGCCCTTAAAATGATATTGGTGAAAAGAAAGAAATATTCTATTATTCCGTCAGATTCTGTGTTTGAAATGGTACAAATATTACCTCTGCTAAATTTTCATAATTTCAATAATTTAAACATTACAATTGATATAATCATTGTTACTAATCATGTAACACCTGTATAATAATTTATCATGTTATGCTCTGTATGTTTTTCATTCTAACATAATTACTAAAATTGAAAATTCATGTAATATCAGTATTAAATACTATTAAACTCTTTCTAAATATTTTGAACATGAAATTTCAAGTTTCAAATTTGTAAAGAAATGTTTGATGTGTTTTTTTTTTGAAATATTATAATACTTGATCTATATTATAACAAAATTACATTAAAAGTATTACTGTAATACTGTTTGCGTTTATTTAGAGCTAATTTTCAATTTGGAACATCTTATTTATGCAATTTTTTTTAATGTGAATTCTATTTTTGCTTGGTTTTCTGTCCAATGACAGTGCATAACAAGAATATAAAGTGTTGAAGAGAAAATATTTATGTTAGGTATACATATATAAATTTATAATATTTTATATTGACTCATATATTTAGTACAATCAATACAAATATACAGAGCATTTAATTATGAATAATTGTGTTGAAAGTCATGTAATATAACATATTGAATGAGTTAAGATTAGTCATTAGAATGTAAAGAATATTTTCCATTAGATTGTAAGTTAGAAATGGTATTATTAAAAAAAAATGTTACATAATTTTTTACCCAATAACAAAACACTATGATACAATAATATCATTCTTTTGATTCAGAGTGGAGTTTGCTTTTGTTTTCTTTCGAACATTATGAAATTCTGACATCTATCTTGCATCTGCTTATTTACACCTTGTGATTGTTAAAAAAAAAATGAAAATCCCTGATGCCTTATGCATTTATTCTCAGATTTGTCTTAGTGGATGCATTCATTGTAACGACATATTAATAATTGTCAATGAATGTTTTCACTGTGTTGTAAAATAAAAGGGCAATGATAATTGAAATATTTTTCGTCGCTAGTTTCATTTATACTGCGTTTCAATCAAAAGATTTTCGAAATATTATCGATACACAAAAAATATATCATATTATCATTGACATTCAGTTTCATACATCTTTATCGTTATATGCGCTTAAAATGATTCCTAGTTTGATCGATTGCAATTGACACACGCACAAATGGGTTTATAGATTCAGAGAAGTATCACGAGATGATTGCAGCGACTGAAAGTCCCCCAAGATATTCGGGTCCGTTCCGTTTGAAAGACGACGCGGAGTTTCCACCTGTTACGCAAAGGACGGATTGAGTGTATTAATTCCAGCATATCAGAAAAATTTCACAGGAAGATAAATTAGTCTACGGCAGTGATCGAAATTCGACAAGCACTGTGTACAAGCCGACGCTCTATGTTTATGGTCATGACGAAGGTTACAGCGTCGGTAAAACGACAAACTGATTCCCGACGTGAATGTTACGAGAGAACAAGTTAAGGAGCATGTATCAGTTATGTAATTAATTCCGGAAATTATCATATAATTAGATAAACATTTTTATGTGGTATTGGAAATTTGATATTCCGAAAAAGATTATTCGAACCCTCTTCATCGTATTGTAATTTTGGAAAAATATCTTATATTGAAACATTATCATCGTCTCTCAATGGGAAAAGCGATTAATCAAAGCTGCTGTAAAGTGCTAAAAGCAAAAAAAATATTAAAAATGCTTAAGTTAGATCGCGCTTGAAAATATTTAACATAAATGCTTAAAAGAAAAAAACAGTACATAGACATTTAAGTATTTTTACCGTGCATTAAATACATAATAATTATCATAAAATAGTGCATACATTTTAGGTAAGTCATCGAAAATAAATTGTTTATAGTAAACAAACAGGTACATTCTTACCAAATATCTTTCATAGTGTTCTTTTGTTAGATTATTGTATTTCTTAATTATATTCTCATTTTTTTTTGTGTTTCGTAAATGAAACTGTTGAATTTCTTGAAAAAACTATCGTTGGTAATCAAGAAAATTAGAAATTGAAAATTTTAAAAGTATAAATAACAATGTTTTCAAAAACACTTGCATTAAAATTTGTTAAAAATTAAACATTCTAAAATATTTCTAATAACACATGTTCTGTGTTTTCTCCGTATATGGGAGTAATTCTTCTAATCTGAATCGCTTCGGTTATTTTACATAGTTTGAAAAGATGTAAAGACTGTTCATACCTAAAATTTTATTTATGTTTGTGGTTTACATTTAAACACTTGTGTCAAAGGTATGTTTGAGTATCAAATAGGACTTGTTAAATGTATGCGTAAATTGCAAATGTTGTTGCAGAGATTTATTTGTGAATTGAGATTCCAGTTCGTTTAGAAATAAAGCGAAATTTCTATTAATCTCTAAAACACTGTATAAAGTCCATAGTCTATTAGCGACATAAAGATAATGATTTTTCACTATCTTTCTTAAATCACTATTTCTTATATGAACAGTCATTGAATGTCCTTAAACGTTAAGGACGAATACAACAATTACTTCGTGGAGGTAAACTTTAAAAAGAAAGAAAAAAAAATAAATACATAAGGAATAAATGTAATAAAAAATAAAGATGAAGAACTAACTTATAAGAACACTGAAAATGAAGAAAATTTTAATTATATATCGTGTATTTCGATATTTTACAAAATGCAATAAATACGTCGTTTCATAAAACAAAAGGCTACAAAGAATTAGATCTCTGTTTCTGTTAGTATTATACTTTATTCGTGGTATACTTTAGAAGTGTATAATTTTGTATAATTGTATTCTATGCATAGTGCTGGTTTCTTCCTGCTGTTAATAATTGACTGGATTCTGTTAGATTACTTTTTCTTGTAAAAAATGTTATTCATAAGAAACTTACCGTTACATTTTTCAGCTTACTAACTTGATTAATACAACTTATATTACTCTGATTTTTACTTCAACAAGGTGATGTGTTCTTTTCCGTTATTTTTGTATTCACGATAAGTGCCAATCGACTTTGCAAATATATTACAAAATTTTATATATTCTGTACAATGAGATACAGTGTATAAAGTTTTTCAAAGTATAAATTGGAGATATTCTATATTGTACGCTCACTTTTATTATTATTTTTAAACATCGTATCTACTTGTTTCTGTTCTATTTAATGTATCTCTTCCTGAGTTGTTTATACGTGTACTTTTATTTGCTCTCTATATCTCGTTTTTATTTCTTATTTTTTGTCTGCATTCTATTAATGTTTTAATGATCTTTAATTCTATAAACGTAAAGTGAAATCAGTGAGTTTCATTCGTTAACAAAAGATTTTTTAATGTGTTTGATGATTTAGAAATATAATTTCCAAAGCTTAAAAAATGCAGGCTCTGCGTATATATGTTTTGTATGTATCTACTAATTAAATTGTAAGATTTAGTTTTCAAAATCATATCTACTAATTTATGCGAAGTAATTATAAAATATTTAAATGCACATCCGTGATGTGTGTTCTCGATAATTTTGTATCGAATTATCTTATTTTGGTGAATAATTTTACTTTTGTAACAGTCGAAATAGCAATGGACATCAGTGTACAATAGTAGTAAAAAAAAATGAATATGTATATGTGTTGGAGTTTTTAAGCAATGATGTATTGCGTTATCATGTTTCTCATCAGTGTACATAATTATGATAATGTATAAAATAAAAGGAAAGGAATCTCTTTTCTTTCGCATAAAAAAATACCGAATTTGTCAAAAATGTAATACACTAAAAGTATAATACAATCACTTAACACAACTATATAATTTTGTACAATAAAAAAATTATTTTGTGATAATATTCTTTATTGATTTGACAATTTGCATTCGACATAATAGTTTTGTAGGTTTTAGAGCCGCAATTGTACTTCCATTGTAGGAACTAAAAAATAATAATCGGGCAACTTCACAATAGTACTTGTTATAGTTAAACAATGTCGAAAATTTTGTGAATTAGGGAAAGGAAATGAAAAATATAAAAATCGAGTAATATGTATGTTAAACGATTTAATCGAAACTGCAAACATATAAAATGATGTTATATTTGAGGAATATTTGAATATCATTTATTCTTCTTCTCTGTTTCTCACACTATTGTAAATATCTTCTTAGATGAATATTTATAAAAGTGTACGTTGTATTAAACTAAATGTTTAGATTTTTACAAGTAATAATATTGTATTTCACTACTCTTAGTAGAATTTGTGTTATATAAATAAATCCGTAATAAACAATTTAACCCATTAATAGTTTTGTTAATCATTATCATACATCACCGTTTATAATATGATGAATGATGACATTGTAAGTAAAAATTATTAAACAACTATGCCAAACATACATAAATTCTGTAATTTCATTGTACACCGATATAATTTTATTTACTGTACTACCCTCTGAAAATTCCGTGTTTATGAGAATATGAATAAACGCGATAAAAATGCATGATTTTCAACGGTTTATTCTAAAATGAAAGGTTTCAAAAGATTTCTTTGGTAATTTGTAAGTAAATTTACTACTACAAGCAGACTGCAAATTCACCAATACACATTACCAGTTCCAACAATTTCACTGACATTGCATAAACTCTCACATTACTGTAATCTCAGAGTGTGAACATTAAAATGTAATTATAGAATGCAGAGACAACGGATCAAAAGGGTCTATCTCTAAGTTTCAATTTATGACAACACTGTTAATGAATGAACTAGAAACCCGCTTAATGTAAAAACAGATATGAAACTGAATAGAGTGAGAGAGCTACAAATTAATTATGAAATTTGTATGATTCTATGCAGTATACTAATGAGATGAAGTATTTCATTAGGGCAGTTTGTATTACAAATGTGGCTTAATTGCGTAGACAAATGAACTACAACTGTGTTTTCACTTAGATAATTATTATTCAATTTCCAAATCCCACACGTATCTTTCATTACATTTGAAATATAAACATACAAATAACGCTGGAATGTATTTAAATATTCTTCTTTTAAATAAGTTTAAATAATATTATTAATACAAAATGCTCCACTTCGTATTTTATTCTTTTAGATTGAAAATTGTTTGGAAAATCTTTAAGATGGAAATATTATTCATGAAAAAGCAGTCTTCGATTGAATTTTTATCCTTTTATCTTAGCTTACTTAAAATCTGCCCTAATTATATACAAAAAGAAAAATTGCATGTACATACATAGAATATTTGATTCTGAATAGATCAATCTTTTTAATAGAAATATTGAATTTCTTAAAGTTACTTTTCTGCAAAATTTCTGTTTATAAACACAAAGTGTTCTCTATAAAACAGAAACAGGCCCTTTTGTCGTATGCTCACTGTAATGAGGTACAAAGACACGAAGACTTAGCTATAAAGATCATCATCACCGTCATCTTGGAAGGTTTGATCGCCTTGCGTTGTATCTTGAGTACCGCTTCCTCCGCTTTGCGGAAATCTGAAAAATTTATATATTAGTTTAATCATCAGAAGAAGTATGGTATATAAGAAAAATATTAAATAAACAAATATATATATATACAGGGTGGGGTAATAACTATGTCCACTTTGAATATTGCCATTATTTGTAATAATATGAAAAAATGTTATATACAAAACTTACAATACAAGGACATCTTTTTACAATTTCAAGGTCATCTTTTTTTTTTAACGGAATGCTATGTTTTTTTTATCGCGATGTGATAGCCGGTGTTGAGATGACTTCAACGAGCTATCATTGAAGGTGACGCAAGGTCAAATGTGTTAGTACAATATACTTTCTTACACTACAAGAGATGCTCGAAGTGGTAACCGTTTGCGTCAATGCAAAGTTGCAATCTTCGTATCGCTGCATCACGTGCATGTCTTATCGTTTCTGAACTTATGAAATGTTTGTGTCATAATATGCCCCCATCTATACCGTGTAAGTTTTGTATATAACATTTTTTCATATTATTACAAATAACAATATTCAAAGTGGACATAGTTATTGCCCCACCCTGTATATATATTTCTTACCTGAAATTCGTTCCAAATCCACGCGACTGCTGTAGCGTTTGTGCAAACATTTCATATTTTCGAATATCATTATCAGACACTGAACGTCGTGCAAACCTCATTGCTTCTTCAAAGTGAGCTTTGGTTATCTCTGGCACAGGATCGTCTTCATCCATCTATCACAGATGAAAATATTTTAGTAGTTATTGAAGAAAGAGGCGCGTACAAGTTATAGATGTGTTTCGAAAAATTGTACTTTAACCCTTGTGTAGACAACCGGGTACCCAGGTACCCATTTCTAAATTTCCTTTCACAATTTCTTATGTTCTTGTCCAAGAAAGCACATGGTATATTATTCGAAAGGAAAACTATGAAAGTAAAATTATCTATGTTCATCCAATCTCTCAGAATAGAAGTATTCCGATTACTCAATAACTGTGAATATTTTTGTTGTCTACACAAGGGTTAAATTGATATCTGAACGCTGCCAATGAAATGAATGTGCATAAAAAATTATAGGTTATCTTTTCTACTATGACGATTTGTATAATTTTGTTTCTGTATAGCATTTCTTTATAAGGATTGATACAATACAAAAAAATGCTAATTAACATTTTACAAAAAGTAAAAATTTCTAATTCTCTTATTAACAAAAAAGGAATGCTCCTAGTTATCGGTATTATCTTTGAAGATGCTGAAACGGAATAATGTATACAGTTCTACATCCTCCAAGTGCAAATTAGTTACATTCAGTGCAAAAGGACGATTCGTAAAAGGAAATAGACTGTGCGATACGAAGTAAAATGCACTTACATCCATAGATGGAGATGGATTCTGGATACGTTCCTTTTCTTTTTGAATTTCAGTTTCGATGCTTTGTCTTATAGCGAGCTTACACGCACGTTGGCAAATTTCTGTTATATCGGCACCCGAAAAGCCATGTGTTACTTTAGCTATATAGCCTAGATCTACATCCTGTAACATAAATATTAATATTACACCTATACCAAAGACGAAACAGTTAGTAACATAAGTATCGTAGTTTCATTTCAATATTAATACTAAAAATTTTAAAGACTTATAATATCAATTCTGTTTGCATAAAGAAACAAGAGTTCCGATTAAACAAAAATAAAATAAAGCCATTTAAGATAACTATAGTTCGTATTACATACCTTAGCTACTGGAGATTTTCGGAGATTAGCTTTGAATATTGCTTCGCGAGATTTTTCATCTGGCAATGGTATATAAATCAATTGATCTAATCTACCAGGTCGTAAAATGGCAGGATCTATAATATCGGGTCGATTAGTAGCTCCTATGATGAATACATTTTTCTTCACTCCCATTCCATCCATTTCAGTTAAGATTTGATTAATCACACGATCTGCTGCTCCTCCAGCATCTCCTATTGAGGCACCACGAGATTTTGCAATAGAATCAAGTTCATCAAAGAACAATACACAAGGAGCTGCTGATCTTGCCTAAAAGTTTAACGTGACAATGTTTTACCTTTTACATTTTGTTTTATACAATATTATTATATTTAAATTACCCACTTTATCGAAAACATCCCTGACATTAGCTTCTGATTCACCGAACCACATTGTTAATAATTCTGGGCCCTTCACAGAAATGAAATTCGCTTGACATTCATTGGCTATTGCTTTAGCCAATAATGTTTTACCACAACCAGGAGGTCCATAGAATAGTACACCTCGCGATGGTTGCATGCCGAACTTCAAGAACTTTTCAGGGTGCTCAACTGGATACTATGTATATATAATGTAAAAAAGAAATGATTATTTAACAGAATTACTGCTTACTTTAAATGTATGAATATTAAATAATTATTTCATAGTTTTCTTACCTGCACCAATTCCTGCAATTCCATTTTGACATTTTGTAAACCGCCGACATCATCCCAGGTAACAGTTGGTACCTCCACAATAGTTTCTCTCAGAGCACTCGGGCTGCTCTTGGTCATTGCATACTAAAATACAAGGCATAACAGATATTACAAATATTGTTTGCAAAAATTAATATTTTGTTTATATACTATAACATTTAATATCTACCTTGAAATTATCCATAGTAACGGCAAGAGAAGACAAAACTTCAGCATCTATATGGTCATCTTCTAAATCAATCAGATCCATTTTCTCACGAATTTGTTGTAATGCTGCTTCGGAACACAAAGAAGCTAAATCAGCTCCAACGTGGCCGTGAGTTTCTTGTGCGATCTATAATGTAGAATTAATTTACTGTCTAGTACTAAAATTAATAGGTTAATAATTTTAAAAATTATACTGACCTCCTCTAATTCAACGTCATCGGCGAGCTTCATATTTTTTGTATGAATTCTCAAAATTTCTAAACGACCAGTAGCATCGGGTATTCCAATGTCAATTTCTTTATCGAAACGTCCGAAGCGACGCAATGCTCCGTCAATGCTGTTAGGTCTATTGGTAGCAGCCATTACAATGACATGAGAACTTTGCTTCATGCCATCCATTAATGTTAGCAGTTGAGACACTATACGTCTCTCCACCTCTCCGTGTGTCTAGAAATACATATAATAGTTATACAGATAATTTTAGAGTTAATCGAGTAAAATTATTTCGAAAATGTCACTAGAAAACCTTTTCTCGTTTTGGAGCAATAGCATCGAGTTCATCGATGAAAATTATAGCTGGTGAATTCTTCTCAGCTTCTTCGAATGCTTTTCTTAAATTGCTCTCAGATTCTCCGGCAAGTTTACTCATTATTTCAGGACCTGTCAATGTAATACAGTAAGTAAAATTTCAAACCAAGACTGTTTTATATATATATATATATATTAACATACCATTAATAAGGAAAAAGAATGCGCCTGTTTCATTTGCTACTGCCCGAGCAATAAGAGTTTTTCCTGTGCCAGGTGGACCATATAAAAGAATACCACGCGGTGGTTTTACACCAATAGCTTTAAATAAAGATGGATGTCGTAAAGGTAATTCTACCATTTCTTTAATCTGAGCTAACTGTTTACGAACTCCACCAATATCATCGTAACCAACAGCATTTAATGCCTCTTCTTCTTCCTATAATACAGCAGTTTATGCAGAATTGTAATATATAACATATGGTGTTAATATTAATATATAAAATGTATAAAGCAACGTATTCATTAGTTATTAGGGAATAATGTTTTACTGACCTCTCTTTTAATAGGATCACCTTCGCAATGAATAACTGTATCTGGAGCAACAATACAAAATGGTCCCGGATCTGATTCTACAACTTTAAATTCTACGGCACGCATTCCACCGCGTACAATGAAATTATCATCTTTATGAATAGGACGATATGCTTCCAGGAAGTATGGCTTCAAATATACCTCGAACAAATTACTACAACAAAGCACAGGTTATTTCATTAGTATATTAAACGGAAGGAAATATATCATCTGTACATAACAATGTATTTACCTTATGATTAAAGAGTAATACAATAATTATAATTACAAAGTTAGAAGATGTAAGTTAGATTTATGTAACATTAAGATTACAAAAATGTAATGCTAATAATTGTATTATATTAAAATTGGTTTATTTACCCTACAAGACCCACTATAGTGTCATCCATTGGGAGCACATGAATGCGTTTTCCATATTTAACTTCTGGACATGCTTGTATAGAAACGACATCACTCAAACGTACTCGTAAATTATTTCTGATCACACGATTCATACGAATCTTTTCATCAGGACAAGTATCGTCGGTGAGGACGATACATACTGTTTCTTTACGTCGTTTGCCTTTTAACAATACTGTATCACCTCTAAAAAGCTGCAACTCGTCCATTTTTGCTTGAGATAGCGCCACAACAGAGTTATCATCTGCGATAGCTTCATCAACCAATAATCTATTTGGCTTATCCTTCTTTCGAAGGATTGCAGTTGCCAAATCCTCACCGCTATAACAATAAAATGTTCAGTCATTTCAATTATGATAAGAATAATAATAATATAAATGTATTAATGCTTTACCACCATGGAATGTTACATTAGATCATTGATGAATTAAACATAATAAACTTGCGATGTTTTGTACGTTATTAGTACTTGAACATTTGAAAACGGATTTCAATCTTCCTAAAAATTATCAATATGCCCAAAATGTTGCATTAATCAAATGTGTTTAACCACAAAGATACAATGTACACATATAAATCACCTGATGACAAACTGTTAATATAAATAAACACTATTAACCCTTTGCACTCGGAATTTCTAATTTTCCATACATTTTGTCGCTTCAATGGCGACAGTCGAGTGCAAAGGGTTAAAGAAATTAGATTTGTATATAATTCATCAAGGAATACAAAGTATTTTGTATTGTTATAACCTATTAATAAACTGCATCAAATACATTTTCCATTATCGGATCATCTAATATGAATATAAAACTGCATGCAAATTGAATGGTTTCCTGTTTATATAAATATATTTTATGTACTTTACAAATAACAATGACTCCGAATATTATCTGATATTATAAGTAAGCAATATATGTTTAGAATATTGTTTTCTGTAATCAATTTATAATTATTATACCCACTACCTTCTAATAATAATATTTATAAAATAAATTCTACTTGTATTGTCTCTTACTTTTTAATCCCTTTTGCATAATTAGATTAATAATAGATTACAGATAAAACATGTTACTATAATATTCTTGGACAATAGATTTATAGAAACAAGGTTATAATGAATTTTTAATTGAAAAACAAATACTTATACATGAAAGTTAAATTTAAGTTCTACCAATTTCAGTTATATAATTTTTTCACACTATCCAACAAGAAAAATATACATGTCCATGTATAAAAATATGAACACATTTATGAATATTAATATAGTTTATATATTCTTTATACAATATTTTCAATATTTTTTCATTTTCTCAGATTATGAGTATTTGTTTACTGCATCATTTAATTTCCTTGGAAATAGAATTATTTCTATGTATTGACAATATTAAATTGAAAGGACTTTATATTATCAAATTAAATTGTGGTCAATCAAATACTAATCAAAATGTAAGTGATAATTTTATTGCAATGGCTCATTTTATGTTTATTAGTAGATACTGTAATGATGCGTAACAAGACCAAGATTTGTTAATCCCATAAATAATAAAAATGAGTTTAAACGGTTCAACATTATCAAAGGCAATATTTGGCTGGTAATTAGACAGTTTTAACTCATTTACTTGTATTATTAATGTAAAAGAAAAATATAAATATTTAGGTAATTTAACATTAATCATATTACAAATTTCAGTACATTGATTTTATTTTTGCAACGAATTTCTTCCAAGGTTAGTAATTATTGTACTGCGACGAATACAGCGTTAACATGCTACTAAAATTCCTTTGTCATGTCTAGCGTAGTGTTCGGCCATGATTAGTCGGCATGCAAAAATGATAAGCGCGATTCGTGTCATTATAGGCTGTAAATTTGATAAACATCAATCTAAAAGGACGAGCTGCATTTTACAGCGTAAAATTTAATTGACGTTATTCATCTTTCTGTAGAAACGTATGAAGGGACGCGTTGCGTCGACATGATGACATCGTAAAATTGAAAGCCAGCATGGATGCATTTTATTTGCATACTTTGCTTTTGCAGTTTGAAGTAACAGAATGTAAAGCATTATTAGGAATTATCAAGTTTGACATTCCATTTCTTGCATTTACTTACCTTTTTTGTTCACTCATTATTTGTTTGACTTTAAAGCAAAAGAAAGTGTACACGCAATGATCACAACTCAATATCGCACCACGTACGAGTCAGCGACACTCACAATCGATCCAATGAACATCTCTCATTTAAACTTTCATGGCTTGCTGGCTCCCTATGGCCGAATCAGGGACTTAAGGCGAATTCACAAAAAATTTCCCAATTTTGGTTTAAGCGCTAGCCAACGGGCAAAATAGGTGGCAAACCTGTTGTTTATTGTTGTTGTCTGTCTGTCCAGAAACGCTGCGAAAAACAGCATTTCCATTGAGGTATGACATTTCATATGGCATAAAACGCTACATTAGACGTGCGTTTGTCGTTTAATCAAAAATATACGATTAAATTTTGAAATTCTTAAAAAATTACTGGAAATTTATAGTACAACACAATTGTATTGCTCTCTCTTAATTCAAAAAATAATATATAGTAACGTATCAGAAAATGTATATATTGGATAATTGTATTTATTGGATATACAGGGTGTAACAAAAATGTTGTCCGACACGGAAGGGGGCACTCGGGGGGTGAATTGGAACAAGTTATTTCTAGCAACACTTAATCTGAGGCTTCGTTACCGAGATATTAACGAAAAACTGCGACCAATCAGAGCGCGAGTTTGCCGGTCGAGTTCCCGCGATAGCGGTGACTACGTGCTGCGATTTATAGCCAACACTACCGCGAGAACCAGCTGGCAAACTCGCGCTCTGATTGGTCGCGGTTTTTCGTTAATATCTCGGTAACGAAGCCTGAGATTACATTGTTGCTAAGGAAAAACTTGTTCCAAATAACCCCCCGAGTGTCCCATTTCCGGGTTGGACAACATTTTTGTTATACCCTTATATATATATCGATAATATAATATTAATAAAAAAATTTATATTACTAACGCAATAAAATGTTATGGAATAAATGCTTATAAACTTCAGATAAACAGTGTTACGATATATACAAACATAATACATTGTGTTTGGTCTTATTTTAATAAAACAAATCTCCCCAACATGTTCCCTCACGAGCAAACTCGGCTTCCACTAGGGGAAAAAGCGGCGTATGGGTAAGTGCTTCCTACGACTTGGTAAATTCATTTAAAATGTATGTTAATTTGGCATAAATTTCAGAAATTTTCAAAACCAAATGGTAGAAG